CCGTGGCTGAATTTCCAGAAACATCTATTCAGATCCTACGTGCTTCTGAGCCTCTGCTGCCCACTCGGCTGGAGCCATATGCTCTCCTTTGACGAATGCAGGCTCATTTTCACCTTGGCCTCAATAACAAAATGAGACTTCAGGCAAGGGGCGCTGCTTAGGCTCCACCTGAGCCATGAAAGCTTCATTCAGAAAGGAGTCTTCCTCAATGTTAGCCAAGACTTGAGGTTTCTGGTCGGTGCCTGGGTACCATCTCCGGTACCTGCTACCTTCAGTGGTTCGTAGTCCCTTCCCCGACTCCTCCAGCCACCAGCCCAGAGGCCCAGCTACCAGCTGCTAGCCTCCTAGAACATCTGCTGGCCTGAGCACTCATTTCTGGCTTGCCCCTGGTTGGTTTGGATCCCAAAGTATGACAAGCAGGAACAACTGTTGACAGACTTCTGTGAGTTCTCTGCCTGAAAAGCTGGGCTATGCTCCAGAAATAGCTGTTGTCCACTCAGAGAGTAGGTGCAACTCCCTTCCATGTCTGTGTGACCCTAGAATGTCGAAGAGGGCCAGCTGGGGAGGTGTGACAGCATGAGTCTGTGGAACAGGCATCAGAGGTCCCAAACCCAAAGTGACTTAAAACCACAGTGACTCTACAATACGTTCTTTAAAAAAATTTTTCTTAAATTTGGCTATGGGATCTTTTCAGTTAGTTCAGTTCAGTCGCTCAGTCGTGTCCAACTCTTTGTGACCCCATGGACTGGAGTATGCCAGGCTTCCCTGTCCATCACCAATTCCCGAAGCCTGCTAAAACTCATGTTCACTGAGTCAGTCATGTCATCCAACTAATTTATCCTCTGTCGTTCCCTTCTCCTCCGGCCTTCAATTTTTCCCAGCATCAGTATTTTTTTTCATTGAGTCAGTTCTTCACATCAGGAAGCCCAAGAATTGAAGCTTCAGCATCAGTCCTTCCAATGAATATTCAGCACTGATTTCCTTTAGGATTGACTGGTTGGATCTCCTTGTAGTCCAAGGGACTCTCAAGAGTCTTCTCCAACACTGCAGTTCAAAAGCATCAATTCTTCGGCGCTCAGCTTTCTTTATGGTTCAACTCTCACATCCATACATGATAACTGGAAAAACCATAATTTGACTAGAATCACAACAAACTGTGGAAAATTCTTAAAGGGATGGGGACATTACTTTGTCGGCAAAGTAATGTCTCTGCTTTTTAATATGCTATCTAGATTGGTCATAGCTTTTCTTCCAAGGAGCAGGCATCTTTTAATTTCATGGCTGCAGTCACCATCTGCAGTGACTCTGGAGTCCAAGAAAATAAAGTCTCCCATTGCTTCCATTGTTTCCCCATCTATTTGCCATGAAGTGATGTGACTAGATGCCATGACCTTGGTTTTCTGAATGTTGACTGTAAAGCCAGCTTTTTCACTCTCCTCTTTCACCTTTATCAAGAGGTTCCTCAGTTCCTCTTCACTTTCTGCCATAAGGGTGGTGTCACCTGTGTATGAGGTTATTGATATTTATCCTGGCAATCTTGATTCCAGCTTGTGCTTCATCCAGTTCATCATTTCCCATGACATACTCTACATACAGAAGGAAATGGCAACCCACTCCAGTACTCTTGCCTGGAAAATTCCACGGACTTAGGAGCCTGGTAGGCTATAGTCCATGGGGTCGCAAAGAGTCAGACACGACTGAGAACTTTACTTTACTCTACATACAAGTTAAACAAGCAAGGTGACAATATACAACCTTGACATACTCCTTTCCCAAACTGGAACCAGTCCGTTGTTCCATGTCCAGTTCTAACTGTTGCTTCTTGACCTGCATAGAGATTTCTCAAGAGGCAGGGAAGGTGGTCTGGTATCCCCATCCCTTTAAGAATTTTCCACAGTTTGTTGTGATCCACACAGTCAAAGGCGTAGTCAGTGAAGAAGTAGGTGTTTTTCTGAAACTCTCTTGCTTTTTTATGATCCAACGGATGTTGGCAATATGATCTCTGGTTCTTCTCCCTTTTCTAAATCCAATTTGAACATCTGGAAGTTCTTGGTTCATGTACTGTTGAAGCCTGGCTTGGAGGATTTTGAGCATTACTTTGCTAGCATGTGAGATGAGTGCAATTACGCAGTAGTCTGAACATTCTTTGGCATTACCCTTCTTTGGGAATGGAATGAAAATTGACCTTTTCCAGTCCTGTGGCCACTGCTGAGTTTTCCAAATTTGCTGGCATATTGAGTGCAGCACTTTCACAGCATCATCTTTTAGGAACTGAAATAGCTCAACTGGAATTCCATCACCTCCACTAGCTTTGTTCATAGTGATGCTTCCTAAGGGACACTTGACTTTGCATTCCAGGATATCTGGCTCTAGGTGAGTGATCACACCATCATGGTTATCTGGGTCATGAAGATCTTTTTTGTAGAGTTTTTCCGTGTATTCTTGCCACCTTTTCTTAATTATCTTCTGCTTTTGTTAGGTCCATACCATTTCTGTTCTTTATTGTGCCCATCTTTGCATGAAATATTCCCTTGGTACCTTTAATTTTCTTGAAGAGATCTCGAGTCTTTCCCATTCTATTGTTTTCCTCTATTTCTTTGCATGGATCACTGAGGAAGGCTTTCTTATCTCTCCTTGCTATTCTTTGGAACTCTGCGTTCAGATAGGTATAGCTTTCTTTTTCTCTTTTGCCTTTTACTTCTCTTCTTTTCTCAGCTATTTGTAAGTCCTCCTCAGACAACCATTTTGCCTTTTTGCATTTATTTTTCTTGGGGACGGTCTTGATCACTGCCTCTTGTACTATGTCATGAACCTCTGTCCATAGTTCTTCAGGCATTCTATCAGATCTAATCTCTTGAATCTATTTGTCACTTCCACTGTATAATCGTAAGGGATTTAATTTAGGTCATATCTAATGGCCTAGTGGTTTTCCCTACTTTCTTCAATATAAGTCTGAATTTTCCAATAAGGAGTTCATGATCTGATCCATAGTCAGCTCCTGGTCTTGTTTTTGCTGACTGTATAGAGCTTTTCCATCTTCAGCTGCAAAGAATATAATCAATCTGATTTCGGTATTGACCATCTGGTGATGTCCACGTGTAGAGTTATTTCTTGTGCTGTCGGAAGAGGGTGTTTGCTATGACCAGTGTGTTCTCTCGGCAAAACACCGTTAGCCTTTGCCCTGCTTCATTTGGTACTCCAAGGCCAAACTCGCCTGTTACTCCAGGTATCTCTTGACTTCCTACTTTTGCATTACAGTCCCCTATGATGAAAACGACATCTTTTTTTGGTGTTAGTTCTAGAAGGTCTTATAGGTCTTCATAGAACTGTTCAACTTCAGCTTCTTCAGCATTAGTGGGATCTTTTCCTTGCAGCATATGAACTCTTATTTGCGGAGTGTGGGATCTAGTTCCCTGATGAGGGATTGAACCCAGGCCTCCTGCACTGGGAGCATGGAGTCTTAGCTACTGGACCACCAGCTATATGTTCCTTAAGACAGAGCACTTTAGAGTGAACATGGGTATAATTAGTAGTTACGTCAGGACAACAGCATAAACTGGGACTTCAGTGGGTAAACTGGGACACGTGGTTACTTATAAACTATGAGGGAAGGTTAACCGCCCACCCTAGCACTCCTGTGAGAATAACTTCTGAACAACATCAGGAACCTGTAAGAAAGGCAGCATTGTTGAACATACATCCTAGTGAGAGTGATGCAATATCATAGGGTGATCACATCCTCAGGTGGCAGAGGAAAACAGCCACATCAACAAAGAGATCAACAGACATATGGAACTTTTGTTTTGGAACAACCTTACTCAAGGCATCACCCTTGAACTGAAGTCAGTTGGGAGAAAAATCATGAACTCAGTAAAGTGTCCTGAGGAGACTTTGTTTCCCCTCAAAGTAACTGCACTGATGTAGGGCCAGCTCGGAAGGAGATACGATAAACCAGGAGAATAAGTGGGATGCTGGAAGTGATGCTCAGAGGGGAAGAAAACACATCAACAGGGGGAACAAGAAGCTGAGGATGTCAGCTCCAGCAGGGAAGTGTTTGTCTTAGAATCCACACGTGCAGCCCTGGCATTCAGAAGAGTGACTGACAACTAGCGATTGTTCAACAAACATCTGTTCACTGATGGAAAAGTGAGAGGACTGGCTTGATATGAAGAGTGAGGCCTGGAAGAAGGCAAAACTCATGTCCATCCGAGGTAGGCTCAGGAATAAAACCCAAGCTTCTCAACTTCCAGCCTGACCTCCAGGGTCGTGGGAATCACTAGACAGTCTTTGAGCTCCCCAAGCTTCCATGCATCCTCTGTGCACGCAGTTCCTCCCCTACCCCACCACTCTGCCATCACAGCCTGGGGGGCCCCGGAAGATCTAAAGGGAGCAAAGGTCCTTCCCCGCCCTCCCCAGCCCCAGTTCGTCCCTCCTCTAAGCTCTGGTTGCATGGTCAGTGCTGCACGCTATGGTCTCACCTGCCACCAGTTCTTTCCTTTAAGGTTTTCCTTCTCCTCTGTCTTCTTCAACAGAATAGCAGCAGCCTCCATGTCTGTTTTCTGCCCACATAAGCTGGCCCAGCTGGGGACACACGCTAAGGTCTGGTATCCAAACACCTCTGTTCAGGCACTGGTTCCCCTAACTTCTGGGTGAGTACACAAGTAAGTCTCTGGGCAGAGGTGGTGAGTGTGGGATGACACAGTAGGTGGAAGACGTGGGTTTGGTAGGGGTGCGGCCCCAGGTAACGGAAAGCACATTAACAGAAGTGGAGGGCTTGTAAACATTCCAACAATGAGACTGCAGGGTGGAGGGACTGGGTTGAGATATGTCAGCTGGTGTGGCACACAATCTGTTAGCAGCCGCTGGGTCTCCAGCCAGGGCAGCTACCTATCCTTCCTATCGGAAAACCAAACCATCTCATCAGCCCCACAGGAAATCTTCTATCCGCCTCCCCGCACCATCCCCACCACCAAAGACATGGGGGTGGGGACCACGGTTACCTGCTTTCTTCTTGAATTCCCTTCCGGTTGAGAGGGAAAAGCTCAGACAACCAGAAGAGGCCTCGTAGACAAGCTGGTAAGGCGAGTTCACACCCATGGCTGGGATGCTCATAAAGGAATCTGGAGTGGGACACACAGGGACGTTGCTTTCAGTTTTAATTTTAATGTTTTAACCAAGAGCACAATAATGAACTTTCTGTCCTAGTCATATGGTAGGCCAATATTCTAAAGTGCCCTGTTGTTACAAAACCACCTAATTCTGGAAGAAAAAGATTTTTACTGCTGGAGAAGGCTCAGAGTGATTAAGAGAAATCTTTAAAAGTCTCCTCTATGGTTTTCCCCCCTGTCTGGCCCCCAGTATCTCTCAAGAATGAAATATAATCAGAGCAGGGAAGAGAAGGCAGGCACAAAAGGTGACGTTACTCTAAGGATAAATGCAGATATAGCTGCTATACTAGGTCAAGAGACTAAACATGGGACTAGCTAGATGAAAATTTAGAGTTATCTCTTCCCCTTCTCCAAGTCACAGAAATCAGATGCTTCTGCAACAACAGATCAGTCTCTTGCAGAATCACACTGTCATGTACAAAATCACTTGATAGCAGACCACTTAAGAATTAAACTTTAGCACCCCTTTACTTGTGGAAAATCTTGGTCATTATTTCACAAACTTCATCAAATCATTTGCTTATTCTTCCCCCAAATACAGTCATTTCACATGTTGGGCATGAAACTGTCAGGAAATGTCAAGCAATTCATCACAGCTCATTCAAATTCATAAAGAAAATGGCAAACATGGCCTTCTAAATAGATAAAACCTGTACCCAGAGACTGCACATTGAATGATACTAACCAAAGACAATCACCTTCACTGGTAACCCAAAGCCGGAAATTAGGACCACATGAAAAGAACTAATAATAGCCAATGCTGAGAAAGATGGAATAAAACCAGTCAGTCCTACTGGTGCAGAGAAAATTCATCAAGAAAGCAATATTTAACAACAACTGTATACATCCTGAGACCTTCTGCCCAGTAATCCTCTCTCCTGGGAGAGTAATCTTAATAACCAACACAACAGTGATAAGAACCAATATGCATGAAGTTGCATATTACAATGCATATTATACTAATAGCAAGAAACCTGGAAGCCTAAGCATTCTGTTAATTATGGAACATGAACATCAGAAGAACCCTACACTCAGAGTGACAACTGTAAAGGTATAGCCATGTTGGATTACACTGTGTCTGTTAAGTAAAGGAAACTGAAAAATAGAAAAATTATAGTATTCTTAGAAAAATATATACACATACACAAATATACACACACAGAGAGAAGAACCACAAAGGGAACTGCAAAAGTAAAAAAAATAGCTATTATATAAAAGTGGCAAGACTATCTGTTTTCTTTTTGCTGTTTTATTTCATAACATGGCCATCCACTGAAAGTCAAGGAGCAGTCCAGCTGTCTTTCCTAACAGGTCAGGACTAGACAGGAGAAGAGACAGGACGTAATCTTATTACTAGGGAAACGCTGCCTTAGCAGTGGGTACACTGTAGTTACAGCACTCAAGGAATACCACTCCAGACTCAGTTACAACTTGGGTCTACCTCAGCCAGTAGCGGGTCCAGAAAAGCAAAATTCACGCAAAACAAATCAATAGGCATCTGAATCTTCTTTTCAAAGCACTCCGAGGATGAATGCTTTCCCAAAAGAAACAGACTGCTCCCTCATTTATATTTTGTCACTCAGAGTTTCTTTTCAAACTCTAGGTTTATTTGAAGGAGCATCAGGAATAGACGTGCCAGCAAGTGAGAGGGGTTTCCTGGGGGAGCGTGATGCAGGGGAGGCTTGCTCAGCGCTCCGCTGATGCAGACAGACAAGCAGCACCAGCTGGCTCTCTGCAAGGTCTCCTCCAGCAGGTTAACCACAAGCCGTGAGGGAAGCCACTGCATCACAGGTGAAAGCCTGTGACCCTGAGAGATGCTGCAACACCCTGGAGGTGGAGCGCTGAAGGGATGACTGCTTCACTCTCAGGGTTGGGGAACACAACGTTCAGGTGGGAGAGCGCAGCTCGCAGGTTTGAGGCTGGGTGGCTGGGCCAGGGTACCTGTTCCCTCCCAAGGACGCGCCTACCCACGTGACAGACCATCAGGCAGCTGTCTCCCAGATGAAGCAGAGTTGCAATGGAGCGGAGCGCCAAGCCCCATGTGGAATGCAGCGTGCAGAACTCCATGTCTGCTGGCAACCTTCTGCATAAACAGGGCATAATCAGAGCCTGTGTCATCAGAGCAGAGCTGACCCTGAACACAACGGGCAGAGTGCATCCTCTTAAAGCAGAAAGAAACCCATGTGTGCACACACTCAGTTGTGTTTGACTCTTTGTGGCCCCATGAACTGTAGCCCGCCAGGCTCCTCTGTCCATGGAATTTCCCAGGCAAGAACACTGGAGTGGGTTTTCATTTCCTCCTCCAGGGGATCTTCCCCACCCAGGGCTCAAACCCACGTCTCTTGTGTCTCTTGCAGTGGCAGGTGGGTTCTTTACCACTGCGCCCCTGGGAAGCTACTTCGTGGTAAACAGTTGGGATAGGCTTGATCAGGGCTTTACCTTAGGAAAGGAAACCAACGTTTATCAACATAGCCTTCTCTAGCTCATATTTACCATAAGTCCACTGATATTGTAAGCACATGCCTAATTCTTATAAGAAATAAAAACAACTGTCGGTTTTTTCAGATGGTGTGATTTTTTTTTTTCCTGAATGGTTGTATGACAGCAATAAAACATGAGTCCCTTCACATGTGCCTTTTGCGAAAAGGTCCAAATTTGTTTGTATTGTCAACCCTTTGATATCCCAGTCCTCCTTTCTCCATGAAGCAGTCGCCCTAGACAACTCTCCTGCCCTTGGCAGTAACTAGTTTTGCTTCTCTGCATCACTCACGGGTGGCTTCATGTGGATAACCAGCAGCTCTCTAACATCATTCTCACTGAGTTCATGAAATCCCACATTTCCCCCCAAGTCTTGCAATTTTACTGTGTAATTTATTTGCCCTGTGTGTTCATGTACTATCATCAGATGTTCAGCCACTGACCATCAAGGGAAGCCTGACAGTCAGTCAGAGGACAGGGAGAAATGCTAAAAAGGGGATGGATTTTATAGGTTAGGGCAAATGATTATGGGTTATAAATTTATTATGCTCCCCCATCAAGGTTCCTAACAGCAACAACTTTCAGGCATTTGAAATGAATACCTCTATATCCACCAAGCTTAAGAGATACAACAGTACAGATGTGACTAAACTGCTGTCTCTTAAATCATAGCTGTTCCCCTTCCTGCTAGCAGAGATCACGTCCTCTAGTTCTGTGTCTATTATTTCAGGCCCTCTGATTATTCCCATTCAGCTTTGGTCCTTATACTTTGTATAATGTACTCAAAAGCAGTATGCTATAATTTTCTTATTTTACACTTTATTTAAATGGCATTATACCAAACATATCCTTTTATAACTTTTTTTTTTTTTTTGCTTCACACCATTTTTTGTTTATCTGTATTGATATGTGTCCTTCGGTACTTGATTCATTTTCACTTCTCATTATATTCCATCATCTAAAGACTGTAATTTTTCTCTTGTTGATGAACATTTAGGTTGTTTCCATTTTTTTTTTCCATCCCAAACAATTCTGCAATAAACATTCTGATATGACTTCTTATAACATGTATGTGAGTTTCTCTAGGGCAGTGCAATTCTCAAGTGTGGCCTGGTATGAATCCACACCAGGCCATGACCAGGTGAATACAGTAAATGAGAATAAACATTTAGAAGTCTATGTACCAATCTGATGTTCCTGTGACAATATCATGTTTGGAAATGGGGTGCTAAAGGGACTGAAAATTTTACAAAGTGGTCCTTCACCGCAGAGCGTTTAAGAAGCATGGCTCTAGGGAATGACTCAGCAGAGAAACTGCTGGGCGGTAAGATGTTACAGCGCTCCCCCCTCACAGACACCACCACCCTGTTCTCCACGGGAACGGCACCAATATGCACACTCACTTGCAGCATGTGAGAATCCCCGCTGCTTCGCATCCACCTCAACTCTTGGAAACGTCAAACATTTAAGCTGGGGACTTGACCTTTCCACTGCACTCTTGTTGGTATTGTCTGACCTTTCACCTAAGAGCTGAGACTCAGGTACCCACCTTTTCCCATCTGTCCAGCACTGCCACAGTTTCTCCCAATGGTGCCAAGCAGGAAGTCAAAAGCCATCTCTTTGGCATTGAGGTGCAGGAGCTGGCTGGCCTCCACGAAGCGCTTTGTAATGTCCAGGGGGTTGGCACCTACTAAGAAAGTCATCAAAGGCAACTACTCACTTTTTCCAGCATGGGGAAAGTGCTTCTAGAAAAGGACTTCCCTAAGTGGCCCTGGAAGTAAGAGGGGGTGAGTAGGTGTGAGGGTGCTCCTAGCGAGAGGGCCTTGAGCTCTGACGATCTCTGGGTGGCCCCGAGGTCTCTGCCCCCTTCCCCTCTCCCCACCCACAGGCTGGGGACTGATGCTTCTGTTGCTGTTGTTCGGTTGCTCAGTTGTGTCTGCCTCTTTGCCGCCCCGTGGACTGCAGCATGTCAGGCTTCCCTGTCCTTCACTGTCTCCCAGAGTTTGCTCAAACTCACGTCCATTGAATTGGTGATGCTATCTAAGCTGATGCTACTGGTATTTAAAATAACAGCACCCAGAAGGTTTCACCAGTGATGAGTCCCCAGGTCCCCAATAGTGGGATGAGAGACCCTTATCGTGGACAGACCCCGGTTCTCACGACTCTCCTGGTTCTGGCTACCAACCAGCCCTCCCAATTCGCCCCCTCCTCCTGGGTGCTGCCTCTGTCTACCACTGCATCATTTCCACAAACTGGGCCCTTCGATACCTCGGACCTCACACTGTGCTCACTGTCAACCTCTCAATCTGGGCTTGGCAAAGCTGGAGGGATGGGAGGACAAAGTGGGGAACAGAGGGGGAGGGAGATGGATGATTCCTGGGGTGGTCTCAGGAAGGAGTTGACTTGCAAAGCAGACGCTTGGCTGCCACCTCTCCACAGCACGTCCTTGCAGACCTGTCTGGGGACGGTATGGTGGACACACACACCCAGGCCAGACCCTCCGGGCCCAGGAAAATGGGCCACGCTTCACAGAGCCAGCCTTGGCCAACTTACCAGACACAGACTCCAGCATGGCCTTCATCTTCAGGCTGAGGAGCTCGGTCAGCAGGTGGATGGACTGCCGCTGGAACCTGTGCAGGGTCTCCTGGCTGGACTGCCTGCGGCGGCCGTGGGTGGGAGAGTGCGTGAATTTGGCCGGCCCGGTGGAAGCGGGCAGCATCGGCAGTGGGAGCGCTGGTGGGGGCAGCTTCTTCTGGATGGGGGCCTGCACAGGAGCGGATTCCATAAGCACCACGGGCGGGGCGCCAATGCTGATCTCCAGGCCCAAGATGTCGGAGGGGGTAGGGACCATGGGGTCGGTGATCAGCTCCTCCCAGGTGAACTCAAAGATGTTTCTGATGCCCTTGGGTACAGAAATGCCTGCGTTCCGGCAGCCAACGAGCAGCCTGGAGATGTGGGCCAGCAGCTTGGGGGCCGTGGCGGTGTACTGCAGGTACAGCTCTCGGTTACTCTTGATGTCGTTCATGGTACTAGAGCACGCATACTGCTAGGTGATGCTGTCCATTCTAGACAAGAGGGACCTTCAGCTGTAAGCAGCTAGACAGCCTGAGGGCTGAGTGGGAGCCTATGTTCTCACCTAAGGTCAGGTCTCGGGACAGGTGGACGTGCTGAAACGGCCCTTACAGGTCATTGAGCCAGTGCATCCTGTGGGAGGGTAGATGTATCACTGGTCACTCTCCCTGGCAAAGGGATGCCACCCCCACCCTGCTTCCCTTCCCAGGGACATGTCAGAGACCAACTTAGTGAGTCACAAGGGGAGGAGCCTGGGGATAAGCAAATTCCCCACATGGACCCTGGGCTGGAGGAAGGGAAAGGAAGGGGAAGAGAAAAGGTTCCATGGCACCTCTAGGAGTCAGAGATCTGAGGATGGAAGTTCTTCTTCTGGTCTCTCAATAAAAACCTGCAAAAATAAAAAAGATGTTTCACTGGTCCCTGCTGAGGGAAGGTGACGTGGAAACTCCCAGCTGCGAGGCAAGGAAGGGCCTGGATTCAACCTGTATCTCCAAGGGCAGAAGGGAGAGAGCAAGGAGGATGAGTTTTTTAATCCAATGACCAGTATCACTTAACCACATCTCATCAAATCTAGAACTTCAGGCAACTCCCACTACTGAGCCTTCTCATCAGTTCTACCACCGGGCACCCTGACAAGCGCTCCCCACGTCCACGCCCTCGTCTCCTGCCAGACAAATGTCACCCTCTCACTCCTCTGTGTCCTCGGGAGCCAGCCCCAGTTCGCCATTCCAGAACCGCACCCCTGGTGCAAACCTTGTGTTTACAGTACGCTGCCCTGGTGTGATAAGGCTATTATCACTCCGGTTTCACCAATGGAGAAATTGGAGGCTTATGGAGACGGAGCTCTCGGTCGGGAGTTGTCTGTCTTCAGACTCTTGGCAGGGAGACCTTTCCAAACATGACTCCCCCACAGCCTTCCAGCTGCCTGCCCATCCATCAGCAAGAAAATCTCCAAGGAACAAGGGTGCCATAGAGCAAACCCTTCTGACATTCTGCTGGTCTGCAGATAAAGTGGCTTTCTACATCTATTTGCTGACCCTCTGGCAGCTCCATTCCTCAGCTTTGGAGACTCAGAAAAATAGGTTCGTTTTTGAACTGATAAGTCTACAGAACAAAGAGACCACTCAGAATTGTGGTCATCTGGGCAACCAGCCAGAGGGATCTGACCCTAGCAGGCAGGGCAGATCTGTTTTAAAGCTAAGACTCAAATGAAGAGAAGATGAATACAATCTGTGAAATGTTCACTGGTTTGAGGAACCCCATCCTACCCCCTACCAGTTCCTTTCTTGTGACATTAATTTGGAAGACATGCCTTACAAACAGATAAACTCTGGCTTTTAAAAGTTTTATTGAGATACAATTCACATACCATACATTTCACTCTTTTCAGAGTGTACACTGGCTTTTAGTATAGGCGCAGTTGTGCAACAATCACCACTAATTTTAGAACATTTTCATCACCCCCAAAAGAAACCCATTAGCACTCACTCCATTCCTCCTCCCCCCAGGCAACCACTAATCTGCCGTCTGTGTCTACATCTCTGCCTGTTCCGGACATTTCACACGGATGCAATCATATACTCGGCGGTCTTTCGTTAAGTTGCTCCTTTCATTTACAGTCACGTTTCTGAGGTTCATCCATGTTACGCAAGTGTCAGTCCTTCACTCATGCATCTCATTATATGGAGAAGCCACAACCTGCTGATTCATTCAGCCTGACGACACTCTGGTTGTTCCCACTGCTGGCTGTGACGAACAGTGCTCCTGTGAACATTCAGGTACAAGCTGTTGTGCGGATGGAGGCTTTCACTCTCTTGGGTTGGAAGCCAGGAATGGAACTGCTGGGTCATACGGTAACTCAACATTTAACATTTTCAAGAACTATCAGGCTGCTTTCCAAAGTGGCTGCACCATTCTACAGTTCTTTTTGCAAAACCAGTAATGTATTTCTCCATGTCCTTGTCAATGCTTGTCACCATATTGTTGTGATTCCACTGACATCCTAGAGGGTATAAAGTGCTATCTCATTGTGGTTTTCGTTTGTACTTCCCTAGTGACTAAGGATGCTGAGCATCTTTTTGTGAGTTTATTGGCTACTTTTGTATCTTCTTTGAGGAAAAGCCTTTTCAGATTGAAAATTTTTTTTTTTAAGAAATGTCATTTTAAATTAAACGCACAAATAACTTCCATTTGTTACCATATATTTTTCTCTCTTCAGAATTCAGCTGGGGGGGACCACGTGACTCCGTTCTGGCCTGTGAAAGGCATGTGGAGCTGCCGGGTGGGGCTCCTGCTGACATCGTGGTGCCCCCACACCAACGCTTAACCACCTGCCTCCAAACGTGTGTCACATGAGGGAATGAACCCCTGATCTCTTTAAGCCCCTTTACTCAGATCTCTATTCCTGCAGCCAAATGTGATTCCTGCCAGCCAGCCAGTTGCGCGGGGAGAGCATCACTCCATCATATCCCTCATATCCCACATATCTTATTTTCACTGTCACTTGTTCATCTTTCCATCACTGAGACATGTGCCTTGCCCTCAACATTCATCAGGCAGAACAGACTTGCAAAATCTGTATCATATAAGGGTCATACCACTAGGAAAAAAAAAGACAAAGGCCATGAAAACCCAAAGACAAAAGCCTAAAGGAAGCTGCACTGAAGGTTGTCAGAGAAAACAGTAAGAAGCCACCAGGCAGGCAGGGAGGAGAAGGCATTCTTGGTAAAGAAGAGAGTGTACAAAGGAACAGACATTTAAAGCATGGCGGGTTCAGGGAACCACAGAACACTCAGGATGCTTGGGGCTTGGGGCTCTACGGGGATGCAGCAGACAAAGCTGAAAGAGTGTCTAGAATCAGATCCTGAAGGGCCTTATATGCCATACCAAAGAATTTGCATGTTATATAATTATCCTTAGTACAAGTACTCAAACGTACAGTCTTTGATCGCCAGTTGCCTCCCACGTGGTCTCTGCAAGCCACGGCAGGCACCATGTCTTCTTCCCCTTTTACAGTCTCCATGACTCTCAGTAACTGACACAAGTAGGCTGCCACGTGGCAGAAAGTGAAAAATGTTTACAGCATCAAAGCCCAATAGACAGCCTAAGAGACCCACAGAGACAGCTACACACAAAGCTGCAATGAATGATTCCCACAAGGAAGTGCAAAGAGCATGGAAGTTTCTAACGGATATGAAAAATGACCATCTTCATTCCAGCATCTTCAAAGTTTTTCTGCCCGTCTCCTCTTTCCCAGGCCAGGGGAAGGACAGAGATGAGGGGCGCACACACATGGCAAATCAGAGTGCTTTCTGCCAGGGAGAAGGAAAACCCGGAAAAGGCAGTGTCACCAGGTAGCTAACAGCTCAGTCTCCATGACCTCAAGCCTGGAACCTGTGGATTCTAGACCCTGCTTCCCAGGACTATGATTAAATGAGGTCACATGTGTGAAGGGCTGGCACAATGACTAGCAAAGTGCTCAGTGAATGTTAAGTAGAAAAAGATGATTATTTGAAGCAGTTGAAGAAGGCTGTATGACGGAAATGACAGAAGCTGGTCCACAAGTTGAAGCTGACTAGTGAGCAAGGACAGGATGAGCACTCCAAGTGATGGGAACAGCCCTGGCTCAGGCTGGAGGCTCTAAATAGCCTGGCGAATTTGGGGAACTGCATGTAACTCAAGGATGCCGCAGGTTATCGGCAGGGTTGGGGGTGGGCAGCGGCCTGCTGAGAGGAGCTGGTATAAACCGCCGAACGTGGACTTCATCTTGCATGTGATGGGAAACCACGGAAGGACTGCAAGCAGAAGCGGCATCTGTGCAGAGGGCGCTCCTCCGGGGGGCCGGCAGTGTGGGGGGGCGGAGGGAGACATACACCTGCAGTGGCACTGGCCGAGGGGAGCTGTGCCCACAGCACCCCGACTTCTGCATACAGTCAAAGAGCAACTCCCAGCCCCTGCACCTCAAAGAGCACCTCAGAAGGCACAGACCCAGTGAACTCCCAGGGGTACACCATGCAGCGCAACAGAACAAGGGCGAAAAGTGGGAAAGTCCTGAGCAGGCTCTGGGAAAACCAAGGGCACCTGACCAAGGACACCGAGGAGGAAGTTCAGGCATGGATGTGAAAGAAGAGAAGAGGGCCTATCTCCCTCTTGTTAGTGGCACTGACTCAGGAATACGTTTCAGGGTAGAAGTTGTATCCAGCTGTATGTTTAAAAACAAAACTAAACTCAACCCCCTCAGGTGACCTGGTCCTGGCTTTCTTTGCTCTTTTCTCTAGTTTCTGCCTCTCTTTAGTTTTAACCAGAATGCTTTTGGTAAGGATGGTGAGCAGTCCAGATGTAACCGTGTGACCACCATCTGTGAGTAAATGCAGCTTCAGGCTGGGACAGGCAAGAGGAAAGAGGCGGAAGTGGAAACAGGAACATTAACAGACACTGTCCTCTCCACTCCATACACAAAGAACATTCTGGTCAGATGTATGAACCCTCTAGCAGATGAGAGGAGGAGGGGCTGAGCTATGGAAGAAGTGGATGAGAGAGGAAGCAGAGTGGGGCCACATGCACACGCTCAAGCTTAACCGCCTGCTGCCGGCAAGGCTTACTTGCGAGACTAGAACCTTGCAGTCACCACTTGTCATCGAGTGGGGCTCACTTGAAAACCACCTCCATCCCCCACCAGCGGTATCTACTGGGGCACCAAAGGGCCCATGAAGATGAGTCTCCCAGAAAGACTCATCCAGAGAGACGAAAATGATCAACACTTTGACCCAGTGATTTCAGTTGTGAAATGCCCAAGGCAACAGTTTTAAAAGACGGGACGGCAGCTGTATGTATGTAGTTAAGCCAAACAAAAAAATGCTTACAGTCACTTCATTCCTAACAGTGAAATACTGCAGAGAGCCAACAACTGAGGGAGTGCTTAATGACAACGTAGATTCACTCGAACCATTAGCCAGCAAAAAAATAACCGAGTTTGGTTTTGAGAAATGTTAAAAATACACACATGTGATGGTAGGCCCACATGATGACACATCCCATAAAGACGTATGCTGATCGTAATGGGAAGCAGAGACACAGTCTTTCTGTTTGAAGGTAAAGATGACACTTCAGGAAAGAAAACAGTAAACAAGGGTCCCTGCAAAGAAGGCAGCATGTTCTCAGACAGGCTTGTGACCTAGGAGACTGGGGTTGGGCGGGGGGGCAGCAGGGCCCAGTCGCATGTTTCCTGGTTTCCATATTAACTCCGAACAACTGGGACTGTCTGTGCAGAGAAGAATGGTGTGGGGAGTGAGGGGGTCAGGAGCTATATCCATGTTCAAGCTCAGGGAATATGACCGGATAGAAACAGAACACGTCGTACCCCAGAAAGAGAGTTACAATCAGGCAAAACCACCACAGAGCAGGTGAGCTTAGGATTGGAGAGAACGTGGCAGTTAGAAATGTAGTGGGAAAGATGCTGTTTAAACGGACGGTAGAAAAAAATATCTGTGGACACTCCTGTCACTGGAGAGATGTACACTTACCGGGCAGTTATACAAACACCTGTGATTTACTGAGAAACAGTAACAAAAGGGCAACACCAGGTCTGGGTGAAAGGTTCTCACTAAGCACCCGCTTCGTCCAACTGTCCTGGTTTCCCAGTCTTCTGAGACAGGAAGCTCCACCACCCCAGCGTTCTCCCCACTCTGCCCCTCACACTTGCTCTATGTGTGTTAAGCGAACGTCCGGACCCACCAGCAAACACCTCACCACCAACCAGCCGGCAGGGCAGGTGCCACTGGGACCAGGGAGTTCCATTTTCTCTCAAGATTTTCAGCAGGTTAATCGATTCAGCTATCACCACTTACGTCAGCCATGTAGTTTCTTACAGGAACTGCTTGACATCTAACTGACTTAGTTCACTTTACTGGCTGGAAAGAAATTACACACATATGGCGTGGCTGCTCTCTGTGTTGTATTAACTGTAAAGACCAGTACCCTCATCCATTCCAGATTCTAAATTCTACTGCCTCATCTCTATGTCACAACAAGGTCAGCTGAGAGCCATCTCCCAGACTGCACTATGGCTTTAAGAGGAAATAAATTACACCGCAAGCCTTTGGCAAATGCACAGCTAAACATAGCAGGAATCTCATGTATATGGATTTAAAGTTTCTCCTTTGGGACTTTTGCAAGCAAACAAAATGATTTATTTAGCCAATTCAAACGAACTGTATTAAAACACACAAAGGCCTAGAGAAAAGATTACAGTGAAAACAAATAATTCAAAGCAATTTCTAATCCAAGACATTTTGCTTCGCTGCACAACGCCATGAACGAGGCGTGGTCATGCTTTCCGACCGGAGATTTCAGCACTGGTGGCTCCCAAGTCAAACACAGCCAGAAGGGTAGCGTGAGCGCTTAATGTGTGGCAGGAAGAGGTCTGTTTGCCGACCACTCAGTTACGAGCAGGAGAATTACACACGGTTAAACCACAAAACGCGCAAAAACAGATCGCTCAGAGCTGCGCTGCGCCTTCACTAGCACTAACCAGGCGTGTCTTCTGAGCATCTGAAGTGTGGTATTGTATGACAAGGAGCTACGTTTTAAGTTTACGAAATTTAAAGCCTGATAATTTCGTCACTGGCCAACTCTTAAATGTTTTTAAGTGTGTTTGGATCAACTTAGGTATGGGAATCTACTTTTTCAAATGTATATTTTGTGAAATCCAAACAGAGATGAAGTATTCCTGATGAAAATTAAGCATCTGAATCAAGATGTGCTATAAGTGGACACACAATGGGTTCTGAAGACTTGGTGTGAAAAGAAATGCAAAACGCCCCATTAACCTTTCTGTATATTGCTGGAATACTGAACTATTTTGGACATTCTGGGTTAAGTGGAGTTGACTCTGAACAGTCTGGGTTTGAACTGGGAGGGTCTACACGTGCGTGGACTGTTCACTAACACTACAGCACCACACGCTCCACAGCCGGCTCAGTGTGCGGATGGGAACGGCGCGTGCAGAGGGCCGACTGCGGAACTTGGCCATCTACAGACTCTGCTCCCCACAGCAGGTCCTGGAACCGATCCCCCCGCAGACACAGAGGGATGGCATTATACCCAGGAAGAATTCACTTTTTACATGCGGCTCCTAGAAAACAAACTGACACACACGGCTTACACCTCACTTCTACCGGGCACTGCCGTTTCAGAGCACGGGTCTGCCGTCTAAGAACGCCAGTGCCATCTGCTGGACACACTCCCGAGTAACAGGCCCAAGAGAAACGGCAAGACTGAACTGTGTTAACGCTGAAGGACCCGGGGTCTGAAATGGAAGAGGACCTAACAACTAGGCACGAGACACTCAACTAATCTGTATGCTGTGAAAGGGGAGTTCAAACAAGGCTTACAGGCTTTTAAATTCTAGAGAAAATCCAACTTACAGTTATTAGCTGACAGTGACCAGGAGCCAATGTGCACGGACTGGTCTGCTTTCCACCGAGGGTGCCCTGGGTAAGGACAAGAGGTTATTTGGGTGTCCTTCCCACGACCACTGTCTCCCATAAAAGTGAAAGTGTTAGCTGTTCAGTCGTGTCTGACACTTTGTGACCCCATGGACTGTAGCCCGCCAGGCTCCTCTGTCCATGGAATTCTCTAGGCAAGGGCACTGGAGTGGGTTGCCATGCCCTCCTCCAGGGGATCTTCCTGACCCAGGGAGCAAGCCCAGGTCTCCTGCATTGCAGGCAGACTCTTTACTGTCAGAACCACCGGGGAAGCCCCCCGCCTCCGGTACTTGTGGGCTGATTGCTGCCGACCTGTCTCCCCCACCCCACCCCACAGCTGCCCCTCGAGCCCCTCTGCTCTCCCCATGTGCACCACCTTCTTCTCCTCCCTCTGCCTTACACTCTTCCTATCTCCTTCTATTTTCCCTTATGACCCTAGGATATCTAACAATTCTGTTCTTCCTCTTAGTATTCCAATTTCTTTCTGTCTCCTCTCCTCTTGTCCTACAAGACGTTTCAGCTGGTCTTACAGCTTTATGCTGAAGTCTTTGGTCCACTTTGAGGTGGTTTTGTACATGGCATGAGTTAAGTGTCCAAGTCCATTCTTTTGGAGGTGGAGAGTCGACTGTCTCAGAATCATGCTGAGATCAATCCTTTCCCTACTGGATGGTCTTGGCACCACTGTCACCACAGATGTATGGGTTTATCTCTGGACTCTCAAAATTGCTTCACTGTTTATTAATACGTCAGAGCCACACTGTTCCAATTCCGGCAGCTTTACAGTAAGTCTTGAAATAAAGAAGTATGTCCCCCAACTCTGTCCTTTTTTCTTTTTTGAAACTGTTTTGGATATTCTGGGTCTCTTATAATTCCATACAAATTTTAGGATGAGTTTAACAATTTCCGCAAAAAAGGAAGCTTGGTTTTCATGAATTATTTTTGCTAGGAGATGTATTTGTCTGATCAGGCTGACAAAATGACCTTTCATAGGTCTTGCAACTCTGCCCTTGATCTGGACTTCTGAGGTTACGTATGTAAGGATTTGGGATTTCTGTCTCACACTGCTCAATGCTGGGGTTAAACACAGAGAGTAGAGGGTGCTGGAGAAAGCATGAGTCTGGAACGCGCACTTAAACCACCTGCCACTTGGACACCATGTGACGAGTCGCCGGCCCTGTGCCACAGCTCGCAATCTGTAGTAAGAACGGGGTCCTCGCATCAGCACCGCTGTGCTGAGGGGCGGAGACCACGGGCTCCTGCGGGCCCTTGGAGGATCTGCTCCAGCACCTTCTTACAGGACTCACTGGCGAGGGAGGAAGCTGTGACAGCCCGGCAGGCCTGGTGGCCAACTTCTACTGCTTGTCTGCAGCTGTGAAGAGGACACTGGGAGAGGACACAGATGGTACCCAGGCACAGGAGGCCCTTCTGGAGCACTGCTAACCCACCTGTTGTTAGCAAAGACAAAAGGATCTAGCAGCCCCTCACTCGAGCCCAAGTCCGTCCCACTCAGGCTGGGATGAGTTGGCTCCCGAGTGAGATGAGGGCCTAGATACGCAGCGGCAGGAGGGCGGGCAGAGCTGAAGAACTGACTGATAGCTAAGAAGCATCTCGCGCACTGACTAGGTCCAGCAGCCTCCACGTGTGCCCGTCACTCAATACACTCTTACTGAAGGCCCACTCTGCAAGTGATGTCAACATCTACTACTCTGTACTATGAAGTCCTCCCTGGTCTTCCTCATCATTTCAAATGATACCCTAAATTCTCCACCAGTGTCAGGGTCCTCCTGGAGACCAGATCACTTAGTTCCCCAATGTCCCCTTCTGTGCTACCATCTGGCAGGCTGAAATTCTTCCTAACAGATGCTCCATCAACTGACTTGGAAGCTGAATGCTTGGAACAAAGACATCAGCCAGCCAGCACTGGCAAAAGGAAAGAAATGCAGCCTTTAAATCTGAGTAGGTCATCGGAGTGGGCATGAGAGACAGGATTACAGACTCCTTAGGATCAAATATTACAGAATATGTCTACTCTATCTCAGCTCACGTGTAAATCCAGATGGACTGGTGTCTCCATACCGATCAGAATGAAATGAACAGCTAAGTGGCCAGAGTTCCCACAGTACCATTCACTTTCTTCCCAGCTGACAAATCCAGCCTGAAGTTTGGGTCTTCAGGGAAAGGACAGGAAGAGAAAGTTACAATTCAGTCCCTAAAGTTATCTCCTCCACTGTGGGAGAGGAAGGCACCATTAACAGTACAGACCCAAGTTATAATGTTTTTAAGTTCATGTTACTTGTTTGTAATATGATATCATATCATCCAGAGTTTCAAAAGTGACGGTCGGAGCTTGTGGCGGGCTGCTGGGGGCAGGAGCAGATGATGTCTGTGACACGCAGGGGTCATGGCTCTGGCCAGAGCGCTGCCCCGGGTCGCTCTGCGCAGGGGCAGGTCGGCTCCATGCCTGGCTGCTCAGAGACTCAGCTCTCTTTTGGTCCATAAAGTAATACGATGGTGGCGCAAACTCAGGGTCTCTCTCGGCCCGGAGATCTGACTGCCTCTTCGACCAGTACCCGAAGGAAAAGTCTGGCAAAAATAAAGTGTTATTAGAACTGATTATTGAATCATTTGAATGTTTGTACTTTTTAATTATCATATGTATTTCTTAAAAGCCACCTTAAATTCTCTGGAATTAAACTACAAGGTACATGCAATGCCTACAAAAGTACATGGAAGGAACCAGGCTAAGAAAAAAAAGAGTGATAAGTCCCACACAGAGAAAAGCTCAAGGAAGGTTCTGTGGAGACAGAAAGTTGGCAGGTGTTGGAGACAAAGCCAAAAAAAGCACTAAAACAGAAATAACTGTTTAAATGATTTGCTTGACATGTTATAGGTAAAACACAAGTTTTGTCCTTTACTGAATTTTGGAAGACACCAAAGGCACCATTCAGAGCTGTCTGCCTCTAACAGCAGCACCAACCAAAGCCATGTGCCTGCCACCTGCATCTTTTACTTGAGTCGTGGATCTCACAGGCTTCAACAATTTAAGCTACTGTACCACTGAAATGATTGTTTTCAAAACGGCATAAACCAGAGCCTATTCCCAAAGAGAGGCTGCTGCAGGTACCATGGTGTATTTGCAGGAAAAAACTTAAAATTTCGCATAACCCAGTGGAACCATATGTGAATCCAAGTTATGACACTTGGACGCAGACTGTTTTTAAGTGAGCATAAAAGAGACTGTTAAAAACACAGAATACATTTAAGGTACCAAACTTTCCCAAGACTTTAAAAAAGCAGTTCCAGACAAATGGTATCCCGAAGCTGTAAAACCACAAGGGGGCAGCAGGAATTACCAAAACCTCCCTCAAGTGTGTCTTTAAAATACCTCATCCTTTCGGCATGATGCCTTGCAGACCCTGGTCTTTTGTATCACACTTTCCAGTGCTCCTGGTTATTGATAAGAAGCAAGCTCAAGGACCTAGAGATTCCTTTAAGTCTCCCAGGGCCACTAAGACTCACCAGAATCAACTGACCCTCACCTTTTCCTCTGTCCCACTCGCGGACGTGTGGCACCCCGGGTCTCGTATCTTTCCTCTCCTGAACGATGACTTCTACTTTGCTACTCTGGGCGGCTGTACGAGGAGCTGGCGTGACCTCTGGTTCTGGGGGCAAAGGGCCAATGACATCTCCATCTATTTTTGTAAAGGAAATAGAGATTTCATTACAATAAAGCTTATGACTACTTTAAAAAGTTAAACAGACATACTTATCCTGAGAGTACAAGCAATAACTGATATTCACTGAGCACCTATTATATGCCAGGTTGTGGGCTAAGTACTTTGCACACTGTGGTTCACTTAGCTCTGTAACAACCCAAACAAAGTCAGAATTGGTACTCCTTTTTATCTCCATTTTACAGATAAGGAAAATTAACATCAGAAATGCTACAGAGGTAAATGGTGAAGAGCCAGGATTCAAACCCAGATTGGATGGATTTCAAAGTCTCTGCCACTATGCCACCCCACCTCCCCTGATCAACAACCGAAGGACCAGAAACCCCTCAATTACTCAAAGAGAGTCTCAGGCAAAGCAAGTGTGATGAGAGAGCTGGAGCCTGGTGACAGTCTGCAGGCTATTCAATTCTGGCCATATTTTAAAAGAAAACAGTATTTTAAAAAAACACTAGAGGCACTTCACATCGTGTGGAAATGACATGTTCAGGAGCAGAGCAAAAACAGAAACAGCACACAGAGTTCAACATGCCACGGGAGACAGCATTTATACAAAGCGAACTGGGCCACCTTCCAGTTGTTAAGTGTCCCGATCTCTTTCAAAGCTAACCTGAAGTGAGTCCAGAAATTTTAAAATGGCATGGGCTTACGTTAAGAGCTGGAGAAGCTTCTATCTGCGCCTAGCTTCAGCTGGATGTGAGATGCCTCACCAATGAGGCCATTCCCCAGCCTCCTCCACCCCTCCAGCTGGGGGTGGTCTGTGGACTCTGGCCATTGGGATATAAGTGAGAAGGTTGTGTGTCAATCCCAACGCACGTTCCTAGAAAGGTAGCTGGTGCCCGCCCCTTCTTCCCCAGGGCTGAATCAAGAGCAGGTCCTGGGCAGCTAGTGACCATGCAGGTGACAGCAACCTTCTAGGGCATGGCAGAAGCAGCAGACAGGAGGGAGCGGGAGAAGAGGTGGCCACTGAGGCAGAGCTGCTGGCTGCCCCGGACACCCCCACCGCTGCGGTGCTCAACTAGAGGAGCAGGCGTCCCCCTGGTGAGCCAGTCTATGCAGTCTGTCGGGGCAGTTCAGCCCAGGGGAGCGCTAACTCACACCGGGAGCGTGTCTGACCACAGTACTGAACAGTGCTCCCAAGCAATTTAACAGTCTCTTGGGAAGCTGTCTCTACCCACATTTGTGAATTATTTACTACCTTTCTGTATGCATTAAACATACAGAAACACAGTTTCAAAACACAGTTATAATAACCAACAAAAACTGCTGCCACAGCCAAAGAAAATAAGCCTAAAATATGTACATGCACAACTAAATTTTATCCTAAAATACCTTTTAAGCATTTTATCTCTAAGTCTCACTTACTGAACGGTGCTATTATATGAAGCAACAAAATGTACTGCTAACATCCTTGTTTACAACCTGATATTTTCTTGGGAGTGTAATTCCACACCACTTTGGTATAAAAAGCTGTTCCTGTTCCCGGATGCTGCGCTCAGAGGTACTCAGAGGTGCTCAGAAAATAAAACTAGATGGCTGATTTCTACACAGTCATTCCTACTACTGAGATGTCAATGGAACTGAAATATTTCCTTCTGAGATTCAGAAACACAAGCCACGATGTACCTCTGTTTTCTTCCTCTGCTCCACCTTCTTTTGATTTTTTCATCTTTTTCTGTCGGAGTTTGGCAAGTCTTGCTTCTAATATGGCTTTTCTCTTTTCCTTTATGTTTTCTCGTTTTGTTCTCTGATCTGTTGTCTGAACAGGACAGAAAATTAGAAAACGATTAGTCCCATTCACAATATTTCTGTTGAAAAGGATGAAATAATTTTATTCTAAAAATAAACTGACTTTTCTGCCATCTCTCAGAAGCCATCCGTTGAAATGTTCAAAATGAATATCCTTGTATATACAAGGGCTCTTATACAAGCCCTCTGCTGTTCTCTGAAGTTCAGTCCACAGAACATGCCAGAAGCATTAACATTTTAGGAAACCAACCAATTCTGCCAATTCCTTAATCCCCCTCTAATAACTTTCCATTTTCTTACCCAGGCTGCTTCAAAAGTGCCATACTGGAAACTAAACTTAAAAAATCAAAGTCACACAGGTTACTTTTGAATAGCTATAATCTTAAAAAGCCTGAAACAACAAAATAATATGGCAATTATCTTTATGAAATCTGTAACTGAATTGTGAATAGCTATATACATTTCTAATTAATTTTACTAGGGTTTTTTTTTTTTTTTAAATATGATTCAATGAGAAACCCAACTGTTCAAATCCTTCAAGTCAACTGAGTTTAATCTGTACCTGTTCACGCAGCATTTCTAAGGTTTTCATCTGCTTGTTTCTCAACTCTTTATCTCGGGCGAAAGCAAAGTATCCAACACCAAGTTGCCGGGCCTCTGAAATAGGTAGAAATTACCCCAAAGATTAGATTTCCCTTCTCAGTGAATTAGATTTAGGCCAAATTTCTAGCCGGGCCTCTGAAATAAGTAAAAATTACCCCAAAGATTAGATTTCCCTGGGCAGTGAATTAGATTCAGGACAAATTTCTACCAAAGCAGAAAGGAACACAGGGATGTCTTCCACACTGTTTTTTTTTAAGAAGCAGGTAAAAAACGTTAGAAGTTTCTTTCACTCTGTTTGCCAAGTCATAAACACAACAAGTATTCATTAATTTTTTAGTCACAAGCTGTCTCCACTATTCTTGGGGCACACACTTGGATTAACAGACCCTTTGTTAGGCTAAAAAGTGAACAAACAGTTGTTTTCAGTTCCAAAAGTAAAATTATTTATTTATACAGAAGAGCTGCTGCTTTGTGAATACTTCCTTTCCCACCTGCTATTTAAATGTTCAAGATAAAAAAATGACTTAAAAAGCTGCCAGATGACTGTACCATTTTCACGGATGTCTTCATAATGTATGGGCCCCATTGGCCTTCTCAGGGCCTCCCTCTCTTCTTCCTCCCACTGCTGGCGCTGGAGTTCTTTTCTCATATCTTCAGACAGTAAGGTTTTCTCATTTGCAGGACTAACGAAACTAGGAGAATAGAGCAAAAATCATCTTAGGTAAGGGCTGTAGCATAGCAATGCTTCAGTTCAGACATTTGGGGTCGTGATGAGTAACTCTGGTTGTGAAGAGGACAGTTCCTTACAGAGGTTTCTGACTCATAATACCACTGGGAAACTGCAAAAAAATATCTCCACCTTTCTTTAATCCAAGGAGGCAGCTTGTTTCATCAGCATAATAGAATCTTGCCTCAGCACTCAGACACATCACTTTCCTTCCCAGCCTGGTCTTTGGCTGAATGGAAGGGGCAGGCCAGGCAAGGAGAGGAACTATGGGCCTTCGGTGGGGGGCCTCCCGTGCTGGGCCTGGTGTGACAAAACCAAATCTATATTCTTAAACACTTTCTATGCAGTGGTTTGTTCATTTACTCTGGGCTCATTCTCTGTTACTCTGTAGACAGACATCCTCCCAAGTAAACAGACAGGCTCTAACTCATTCCTTTTAGCATGGATGATCAATCATTCAGGTTGTTCTCTGAATGCGGACTATGTGTGTATGTGCACGTTAACCACAAAAAAGTGCTTCTGCAAACATTCTTACACATTAAAAAAAATATTCTTACAACAGAGCCCGAAAGATAATTAAATAGAAACAGCCTCGCTCACAAAACAACCCCTGCGTCTGCATGTCAGACCCGGGCAAAGCGCTGTGTGTCACACACTTACAGCCTCCCCTGAAGACTTTTATCCATTTCCAGCAGACCTGGCAAGTCCTTTCTCATGCAGCGCCGGGATCGCCCTAAAGAATCCACATAATCCACCCTGAAATAAAAGTGAAAAGACATGAAAAACTGTACATAACATACAGTTCCCTAAGATAAGGAGTTGTTCACAATGAAAAGTTAACATAGGCTCCATCACAAACCCATCACCAAGGGCTTCCTGGGTAACTCAAACTAAACAATCCGCCTGCAATGCGGGAGACCCATGTTCAATCCATAGGTTGGGAAGATCCCCTGGAGAAGGGCACGGCAACCCACTCTAGTATTCTTGCCTGGAGAATCCCACAGACAGAGGAGCCTGGCAGCTACAGTCCATGGGCTCACAAAGAGTCAGACATGACTGAGCGACTAACACACATCACCAAGAAAAACCTTCAACCTGAGAGACCACCACCATTAGTACAAACATGCTCTTCAAACTTAAAAGCTGACACACAATAGTTTCATTGCACCCTTGATTAAATCTTAATTTTAGAAACTGTAGAAAATGATTGACCATGTGTATCTCTGATCTCAAAGATAAAAACTCCACACAGACCCCTGCTGCACTATCTCAGAAATTACTTTTATCTGGTTTACACATTTGCAAGGAGATCCAACCAGTCCATCTTAAAGGAAATCAGTCCTGGGTATTCACTGGAAGGTGAATTCACTGTGACATCCATGAGGTCACAAAGAGTTGGACACGACTGAACTGAACCGAATAGAAGTTTTCTGAGAGACTCTTTTTAACTAGGAGGAAGCCAAGGCAACATACATTTTGTACTACAAAAGCGCCTCAGCAGTGGGCCAGTCTGTTAGCTTTCACTCTTGTTCTTCTTTCCTCATCTTGGCCCAAAGTAAGTACCTTGTTTCATGTACCAGGCAGGGAAACCAGGCAGCCAGCAAGGCCAGTGAAGTACTCTGACGCCCACAACAGGAAATAAGGGCAGTTTTTCATGGATAACACTTCATTTGCATTATGATGCAAAAGATTTTTAACGTTTTAAATTACAGGCAGGGACTCCCCCAGATCCTCTGGCAGGAGGCTGAAAGCACAGAAGGGCCAGCACCACTGCTGCACCAACCCAAGGTCAGATTCCCACGCATGTGGCTTGTGGTTTGGTGAGTCTTTTCTTTCCTGTCACACATGCCAAGTCCAAATGTCAGCCTATGATTTAAAAGGTGAATGCTTGGGAATCCACCACTACAGTCCTAAAGCTGATGACCACAGAAATAAAACCTCCAACAGCAAAAAGCAGTTTCTCCCTTTTCTTCTTTTCCTTCAATGAATGGAGAACCAAAACCACCTAACCAGATGGTCTGAGTAATTATTTACAGTATTTTTGTGGAAAGATTTCCCACCACCTGGAACTGAACTGCAAAAGGATTTTACAAGCAGTTACAATTCTGGAACCTAACTTAGAAACAAAGAAAGTGTCAGAACTGCTTGCAGTGCATCTTCCTTCACCCTATAGGGCATGTGACACCTTCAACTGCCCTTCAAACTCTTCAAATCGGTAACAAATTGATTGTAATCATACAGGCACTAATAACAGGGGTGGGGAGACATTAAACCTCTCAAAGGAGATGAGATTTCTGCTATGAAAAGCAATCATAAGCTATTCTGTCTCTGGAGAAGGCCTCCAAAACATGAAGATCTCGTTGAAACAGAAGTGGCAGGACAGCAGCCAGCGACAAAAACCAGTGTGCAAGCTCTCAGGGAAACCATCACCTGAGGCAGCAGGGGACACAGGAGGGCTCAGTCATGCCCTCTACACAGGATGCTGGGGAAGTTAGGGCACAGCACAGACCCTTGAGACGCTCCTAACAAGAGCAGGCAGGACATAAAACGGCCCAAAAGTGTGTCTCAATCCTTTTCTGGTAAGGAGCCAGTTATGTATCAATATGGGCTTTCCAGGTGGCTCAGCAGTAAAGAATCCAGCTGCCAGTGCAGGAGATGCGGGTTCAAGTCCTGGGCTGGGAAGATCCCTCGGGGAGAAAATGACAACCCACTCCAGTATTCTTGCTTGGAAAATTCCATGGATAGAGGAGTCTGGTGGGCTCATGGCGTTGCAAAGAGTCAGACACAACTTAGCGACTAAACAACAAGACCCAAAGGAGCACGAAGTATGTTTACTATCAGAGTTCGGATGAGAGACAGACCATTTAGACTAGAAATGCTGAAGAAAAGTATGAGGAAAGGGGTGGCATCATACCCGCTCCTCTGTGACTGCCCACCTCAGATGTAAGTGTTCTAGAAGGCTGGTAAGAAGACCCTTCTGCAGCACGAAGATGCAAGTTCTCTGCGTTCCCGGGCAGCGGGGACCGCTCTCTTCACTCATAAAAGACTCCTTCCCACGGGGGGAATGGCTGACAAAAGATCAACAGGTCCTGCCGACAACCCTAAGCAGTTCCTAACAAATACTCCCATGATGTGGACATCTGAGCCTTGGGTGGGGAGCGGTGGGCTCCACACCGGCAGGAAGGGTCAGGCAGGGTTACTCCCAGGAACACAGCATCAGTGCACCTCATGCAATCACAAACCCTTCTGAGCACGTTTCTAAACAGGATCTTAGGTACAGAAAAATCACCATGCCATTTCCTCTGCATGCAGTTTCCTTGTAAAGAAAAGTTTAGTTTGGTTTCCCCATCATTCACCTACCAGGCATCACCATTCCTGCTCTACAGACGAGGAAACTGAAGCCAAGAGAGGGTAGGAACATGATCACAATCATACCACCAGTGAAAGGCAGAGCGCATGCTGTCCAGACGCAGGTCCATGATACCTAAACCATACTGGCAGAAAATGCCACAGCCAGAGTAAGGCTCACCGGATCAGTTCTGCCAGCCCGTTTTCACTGGAAACAAGAGCTCACGCTATCTACATGATGATGCCCGAATAAGCACCTGGGTAAGGCGGCAGGGTGGGTAGAAAGGAACATTCTTCTGCCTAAACAACCCTTTCACATCAATGAAACGGGAAAAAATGCCTCCATGCCTGGCACAGTGCCTGGCACATGGCAGGAACACAGTCTATTTGTAATTATATCAAGTAGCAGCTACTACTTCTATATCTATAAATGCAATCCTACTTAGAGTCTCTGAAGAAAGACTAGAAAGAAAGGGCTTGATAACAGCAAAATAACATGGCTCTTAAAAAGGAAACCCAAGTCTGACAACATTAACATAACCAAATGGCATAATATCACCAACCACTCTTCACTGGGATCCTGGGGAGGAGGAATATCTCTTTCAGAAAGAGCTGCTTCATCATCGTCTCTTTCTTCGGTCTTTCTGTAACCTCTATTGGCACCAACCGCTTCCATTTCTTTGTGTCTGTCTATCATCTTCTGTGTGAAATCCACAAGGTACATGTCCTCCACCTCTTCATCTAGGACACAAACATCAACGTTCAGATGCATGGAGCTGCCATGAAGCAGTCACAGTCACCACTGGGCGCTACACCACCCGACGGCTCACTAGTCGAGGTCTCCACCCGCCCCTAACGCTCCAAAGACACAGAGCCGCCTGGGGCCTGACAGAGACGCTGCAGAAAGGCCGAGGGACTCACCTCTAAAAGCCTGGAGCTTCCTGCTGCCTCATCAATAACAAGATGAGAAGATAACAGTGTCTGACTTCAAGAGACTCATCTAGCCAATCAGATAACTCAGAGGCAGAACGGCATTGCCCAGTAAGCCTTTGTGACTCAGTGACACCCATCTCTAACCGCGTGGGTCATATCCCATAGCCCTGGGTACACTGCTGTGGAATGCCAAGTGTTCAAAGGGTCCTAACACAGGTAAAAGAAGTCATCTGAATTCTTTTTAATCCATGAACACCACTTTCAGGTAAGGCATAGTACCAGGATCTGCAGGGCAAACAGAGACGTCTAATGTGCCATCTACTTGCAGGCCTTATCTACTTGAGCTGAAACCTATGCTGAGAGTTAAATAGTAATCCATCATTCTAATTTAACACAGGATAGCGGATGCATTCACAAACAACGTATGCATCAAGTTTCACTCTGCTGTATTTAAGCTCTAAGGAACAGATGGTAGGTTCCCTATTACCAGGAGTTGATGTTACCCTCACTGTACAGTGGAAAATAACTGAGGCTCCAAAACTTGCCCAAACATGCAGGTCCAATAAGCCCATCAGGAGGTGGGTCTGCCGGTATGGACAAAACCAAATCTCCATGTCCACACACTTCTTTGACTTGATTCTATATTAACAATATAAGTAAAGTTTGAATTAAATGGAAAAAAGACTGTATTTTTAGCCATAAAAATACGTAATTCAATTGGGAAAGAAATACATTTTCCCAGAGCTGAGTTAAGTAAGACCACAAAACAGTGAGGCCTCCTGGCTGGCTGACACCTGCTGCTTCTGCAGGGGGAAGGCAGGGCCTCCCCCAGGCCCTCAGCTTGGTGAGCACCCAGCCTGCCGCTGCTGTCTGGGCTCCCAGCACACGGGAGCCTGCCCCTGCTGTCTGGGCTCCCAGCGCACGGGAGCCTGCCCCTGCTGTCTGGGCTCCCAGCGCACGGGAGCCTGCCCCTGCTGTCTGGGCTCCCAGCGCACGGGAGCCTGCCCCCGCTGTCTGGGCTCCCAGCGCACGGGAGCCTGCCCCCGCTGTCTGGGCTCCCAGCGCACGGGAGCCTGCCCCCGCTGTCTGGGCTCCCAGCGCACGGGAGCCTGCCCCCGCTGTCTGGGCTCCCAGCGCACGGGAGCCTGCCCCCGCTGTCTGGGCTCCCAGCGCACGGGAGCCTGCCCCCGCTGTCTGGGCTCCCAGCGCACGGGAGCCTGCCCCCGCTGTCTGGGCTCCCAGCGCACGGGAGCCTGCCCCTGCTGTCTGGGCTCCCATGACCAGGGTCCCGCCGCCTCCTCTCCTGCTGCGCCCCACCCCACACCTGGCCCTCAGCACTAGCCCCGCAAGTCAGCCCGGCCAGCTCCGGCCCTCTCCTCCCTCTGCTCGCCCCATTTCCCCCTGCAGAAGCCTTTCTGCAGTTCTCCAAAACCTTTAAGACTCCCATCAGAGCCACCTTCTCCCTAAAGACTTCCACATAAGCCTTTTAAAGGCAGTAAGAGATGCACTGCCTTGTAAAATCTCTTTTATTGTTGTTGAACTCTAGGTTGGGTTTCCTTTTTGTGGGGCAGGTATAAGGAGGGAGGATCTTTTAAATATTATCTTAGAAGCAACCATACTGCCTTCCTGGGCAGCAGAGTGGTTAAGGCTCTGAGCTTCCACTTTCCCGGTCAGGGAACTAAGACCCTGCATGCCGCGCAGCACGGCAAAAAAACTTTTACTTTCTAAAAACTAAATTAAAAAAGCAACTATAAGCACTTCAAAGACTAAAATTAAACACAGAGAAAAAAAAAACAGGGGAAAAGAATGATAACTCCAGTACTCTGATATAACCGTAATTCCTCTCAGGTTGTTTTTTCTTAAACACAGCCATAACTGTAACAATGGCCTATTTAGACCTTTATTCCTAAATTTGTTTTCTTCTGTGCCATTTTCCTCCACTGATGATACCCCCATTGAGGGCAGAAGCAGAGAATCTGGCTAATACTGACTGGCTTGTCCCTCTATAGCACCTAACAGGCCCAGCACCCACGGGGCAAATAAAAAACTATTGTTGATTTTCTTATCTCTGTGCTGACACACAGGCCTCCCCTGGGAGCTCAGCTGGTAAAGAATCCGCCTGCAATGCAGGAGACCCCAGTTTGATTCCTGGGTTAGGAAGATGCTGAAACGTTTCTCCCTATTCTCATAATTATTTTAACAAATAAGAAAATACCCCAGAGTTGTATGAATTACAGAAAGTAAAGATGCATAAATAATTATATTTACCTATAAAGTCTCCTTTAGTCATTTTCTCATACAATTTGGCTTTTTCTTCCAATTTCTCCCTAGGAGAAAAAAAAAAAAGACAAGTTTAAAAATGGTCTTATCACTGCCACTCCCAGTAAAACTGCACCCCCCACGCCCAGCCTTACTGCTGCGACCTGCCCACGGGACCCAGTCTGATGACTAGAGCTGAGCCCCCTCCCTGAGGGGCCCTGAGACACAGCCAGGTCCCCTCTGCCCGCTCCATCTTTCACTCGCGACTGTACCAAGGGGCCAAAAACAATGCCTGGTGCATAGCAGATGTTCAGTCAGTATTTGAGGAATGAATACATGAATGAATGAAGATTCCAATTTAATTTAAATGCCGAATGCAACAAATTAAATACCAAAAAAAGAGAGGTATCTAAACAAAAATATTTTCTGTTACGGATCACCAAATTCCACAGTAACTCTGTATCACTGGTTTTACACAAGGGTCCCTGGTCTCCCCTTGGCTAATCAGGTTTAAGAGAGGCAGAGACCAACCTTCTAGAAGTCTGTTAAAAATATGATAATGTCTGTTTTATACAGAACATAGATAAATTATTCATGACAGATAGCTAATTAAAAACAAACATCAACCCTGGCATTTCAATTCAGCAGCCTCTCTGCTCATGTTAATTCTAGCGACATTTACTCTTTAGTGGCTAAGACCTGATGATTCTTTTATTCTAGAAATATTTATGATGATAAAGAGCACCGAAGAAGTCAACTGAGCATTTGCTTGTGAAGGATCGTACTTTATGACAGTAGAAAATTTCATTTCTAATGGTGAGTATGATGTTAGCTAATAGGGCATAAGATGTTATGGAGAAACTCGAATGAACATTTCAGTCAATCCAATACAAAGCCATAGTAATCGAAACAGTATGGGACTGGCATAAAAACAGACACACAGATCAATGGAATGGAAAGAGAGCCCAGAGATAAACCCACACACATATGGTCAATTAATTTACAACAGAAGAGCCAAGAATATGCAATGGCAAAAGAACTGTCTCGTGAATAAATGGTGTTGGGAAAACTGGACAGCCACATGCAAAACGACGAACCTAAAAAACTGTATTACACATCTGAATTAAAAATTCACAGTGGAACCATAAAACTCCTAGAAGAAAACACAGGCAACATGTTCCTGGCATCAGTGTGGCAGTGATTTTTTAGGATTTGACAACAAAAATAAAAAAGGCAAGAAAAGTAAAAATAAACAAGAGGGACTATATCAAACTAAAAAGCTTCTGCAGAGCAAAGGAAACCATCACCAAAATGAAAAGGCGACCTATTATTGAATGGGAGAAAATACTCGCAAATCGTATGTCTGCCATAGACTTAATATCCAAAATAAAGAACTTAAAACTCAACAGCAAGAAAACCAAACAGTGCAACTTTAAAAAAGGATCTGAATAAATATCTTGTCAGACATACAGATGGGCAACAAGTACATGAAAAGGTGCTCAGCATCACTACTCATGAGGGGAATGGAGACCAAAATCACAGTGAGATGTCACCTCACACCTGATGGAACAACTGCTACAAAAAGCTAAGAAATAACAAGGGTCAGCTGGTGAGGATGTGGAGAAAAGGAAATCTTCATGCTGTGTAGGGGGGGAATGTAAACTGGGGCAGCCGCTAAGGAAAAAGAGGATGAGATTGCTCACAAAATAAACAGAACTACCATATGGGAACTTCCCTGGTGATCCAGAGGTTAAGACTCTGAGTGTCCACTGCAGGGGCATGGGTTCACTCTCGTATAAGTGGCTGTCCAGAGAACCAAGGTCCTGCATGTCACACAGTATGGCCAAAAAAAAAAGTAAGTTCGTTCGTAGATACGGTAAACAGAATGGCAGTTGCCAGAGGCAGCAGGAGGATGGGAAGGAGATGGGTGAAATGGCTCAAAACGTACAAACTGCCAGTTATAAAATACGTTAGCAACGAGGATGCAATGTCCAGCATGATGACCACAGTTAATACTGCGCTGCACACATGAAGTCTGTTAAAAGAGTAGATCTCAAATGTTCCTAGTTAAGTAAGTGTTAGTTGTTCAGTCGTGTGCGACTCTTTGCGATCCCATGGACTGGAGCCCGCCAGGCTCCTCGGTCCATGGGATTCTCCAGGCAGAAATATTGGAGTGGGTTGCCATTCCCTTCTCCAGGGGAATCTTCCTGACCCAGGGATCAGCTGTGTGGTGATAGATGTTAGTTAATTATTAGATCTATTGCGGTGAGCACTTCACTATACATACAAATACTAAGTAACTCTGTTATACATCTGAAACTAATACAATGTTATGTTTCAATTACACCTTAATAAAATACATATATAAGGCATAAAAAAGTTACAGTATCTTTCAACAAAATTAAAATTCTAAGCATAATGTCCAACAGTGAGAAAAATGTCTCAGCAGTGAACATGTCTTTAAGTAAAAGTCTCCAGCCTGTTGGGGATAGGTCAAATGCTAAGAAAATAATCCCTAAATGGGCTAATACTCTGCCCTTTACTCTCAGACCCAGAAGAGCCAAGCAGTCTGAGAAACCACTATTTTCAACTGCCAACTTTTTATTATGCAATGGATCTAAACACACACATGGTAGTCATGCCAGAGATTAAAACTTGGGATTCTGAATCCAGGGTGATAGTGCAAACAAAGGAAGAGCTCTTCTTTACAGAAAAATGCCAGCTAGCAAACAGAATGAAAAAATAACACACATGGAATGACAGATTTAGAAAAATTCTAATTTTGAAATCATCAGTGTAATAACTGACTCAGCGATGACTTAATCATCACATGAAAACACACTGGTGAACAGAATATTCACACAGCGTCAGTTTCCCTCCTTAGATTATTACTAATTTCAAATGAGGAAGAGCGTCTTATTGGTGGAAAACTACAGCAGATCTACCTTAACTGAGTGATCAAACTTATCATCACCAATAATGACTTAAGCTGACATCATGAACCTCCTGATGTGACTCAACAGGACAACAAATCATCACCTAGATAGTGTTAATAACCGCTGGTAATTAGTCTGACTCTAATCAGACTGTGGGACACCGCAGAAACAATTGGCCTGGACTTTTCAAACGATGTCAGTGGTGTAACAGACAACAAAAATGCAAGGGAGGGACTTCCCTGGTGGTCCAGTGGTTGAGAATCCGCCTGCCAATGTAGGGAGCACAGGTTCTTCCCTGACCTGTGAACTAGGATCCCACATGCCACAGGGCACTTAAGCCCGTGTGCCACAATCACTGAGTCCATGTGTAACTGCTGAAGCTTCCTGTGCCCTAGAGCCTGTGCTCCACAACAAGAGAAGTCACCACAATGAGAACCCCTCACACCACAGCTAGAGAGTAGCCCCCACTCGCCACAACGAGAGAAAGCCAGCATGCTGCAACGAAGACTCAGGGCAGCCATAATTAAATAAAACTGTAAACATTTTTTTAAACAGGCAAAGGAACTGTTTTCTATTAAAAGAGACTAAAGAGATATGACAACTACATGCAATGCGTACTCTTTAATTAAACGTTTTAAAAAACAATAAAGGACATATCTGTACTAGGATAACTGGTGAAATATGAATATGGACCATATGATACCACTTTAAGAGTGGCAAATTTCTTGGATATGACAGCAGTATTGTGGTTACACAGGGAAACGTCCTTATTCCTGCATAACCACAGTACTGCTGTCATATCCCAGAAATATGCCACTGATGAAACAGTATCATACAGAAGATATATGCTGAAACATTTAGAGGTAAAGTACAGTGATGTTTAACAAAGTTTCTCTACACACACACACACACACACACACACACACACAGGAGAGAGGGAGGGGGAGAAAGAAAGCAAATTTTAAAAGATGTTAAGTGGCGAATTTAGGTGAGAAGTGTTAGAATGTTCACTATAGTCTTGTTTCAAATATAACGGTGGTTTGAAGCTTTTCATATTAAAAAGTTGAGAGGAAAATTCAATTTCTAATTACTAACAGCACACCACCTAGTAGCCCTGAACCACACCACATGGACACTTCTTAAACACTTGGGGATAATCTCAGTGCCTAACAGGGGCTCACAGGGGCACTGTTTCATCTTTTAAACCGAGGCTATGTCTTATCTTCTTATAAGATTATAAATATGCTTGCAAATCATATTATTTTCAGGTAAGAGAGTATCTGGTTAGAAGGATGACAAAAATTAACACTGTAAATGAAATCAAGGTGACCTTCCCCATCTTCACTCAGGGAGCCCCAGAGACAGCCGCACTTGGAGTGACGTTACCTCGCTTTGTCCAGAGTCTTCTGTTCTGCAATCTGCTCTTCAGCATCCTTTTCAGCTCGGTTAGAGACTCCTGCATTCTGTTTGCTCCAGATACTTGGTTTCTGCAGAATAATTTAAAAAACAGAGAATCACCAATTGACTGCAAAAAATCTCTACTTGTACATCAGAAGGGGGAAAAAAGATAATTAGATCTTGTGAATCAGTGGAAATAACTGGACCTCTGACAGCTAACTTATGTCCTGCAAATAAACTATACATAGCAAAGCTGGAGCTAGAAAAAAAAAAAAAGACCCCAAATTACATTTAAACTTTCTTTATTCAACTGCAGTTACGTTTACAGTCTACTGAATGGTTACAGCCTAATTCAAGACGCCGATGAAAAATACATAACAGATTCAGTAACGCAAAAAATAGATACCGTTATTTATAAAACTGGAAAAACATTCACATACTGGAGAATTAGAGCATTTTAATGTGCTTTTGAATCTTACTAGTTTCTATTTCAATATTTGAAATAGTTTATGCAGATGTTCAAATACAAGACAAGGATTTATAGGTAGCAGATACCTTGGACACGTTCAAAAAACTTAATTACAGTTTGATTCCCCTATGTCTGGGGTCAATGGAGATAATTAGATTTTTTTTTTACCTTGTTAGTTGGTTTTGGTTTTCCCAAAACTCCAGCATCTTTTAAAAGTTTTTCTTGTTTGAATTCTTCTTGCTTTCGGAAGAGTTCAGCCTTAAGGTCTACCAACTAGAATAAAGCCAAAAAAACACAAAAAAAACAAAACCACCAATTAACTTTAATGAGTGATTGGATTTCTAAGTTTTTATAATTCTGAAAACAAGATCACAAGCTCTTATAAATGGACAAAAGTGGATATAAAATTAAATGTTTAAATGTAGAGTCTAGCACAAAATAAATCCAAGTCATATTTCATTCCAGCTCTGTGGTAAACATTTAATTTTCAACGCTTCAAGGCTTTCCTCTGGGCAAAGAGAGAATGATAGGCAAAGTAAATGAAATCTGCATCTTCTAGATTCAGATTCAACTAACATCATTAACCACTTTCTCTCTGACTGGCATTGTACTTGGCTCTTTCATGTAGTACAAGTAAAAAAAAAAAACAACTAATTTCACTTAAAAGTCACAAACATTTCTAATTTCTACAGGAAAACATCTTTGATCAGCAACAGTCTGAGCCACAGTGTGTGCCTGGCACTTAACACTGAAGAGCAGAATACAAATGTGAATTAGACATACTCTTCTGCCTCAAAGAACCTACAATCTAGTAAGAAATGTGACTTACAACATCAGTCAGATGCAATACGTGACTTTAAGAGTGAAAGTGGCATAAAAATTCAGATAAACGAGTATTTCCTTTTGTCCATAGTGATCAGAGATGACTTTGAAATGAACCTTAAAGGATAGGCAAGATTTCAACTAGAAATAAAATAGACTGAGTGAATTTTGTTTCAGCATGTTTGGAAACCACAAATTTAGCTTAACAACAGAGTTCAAGAACAAGAAAAGCCAGAGCAAAAGAACAGGGGACTTGGATCTATCATCACTATCTACTCTGCACAAAAGGGTATAATGGCAGTTTCCTTTTTAAGGATCGAAGTACAGCTGCTTATATACACAGACATTTGTAAACTGAATACTTAAAAAGCCCAGCATTACAGACTGACTTTTAAGGGAAATCAAAATGACTGCATTCAGTGATTTCTATTTTGGAGAAAAGTATTTAAAAATAGGTTTGGCACAGACTTTAATAACGTCAAGGGCTGGTTTATCCCAGAACCTAATACTCTAAATTTTAAAAAGCAAATTTAAAACTTAAGCCTTTTCTTCTAAGCCTTCTTAACCACATCAATTTTCTAGTTGCACATTTTCCTACTATACTTTTGAATTTTAAAAGGAAGATGCTCAGAGAAGTGTCAGTTCCCAGATGGCATTCACATTATTATTACTAACTTTAACCCATCAGGAAAAAGTTAATTTTATAGTTTTTTGGTGCCTAATCCTCAAACATTATGTGTGTGCGCTAAGTCACTTCAGTCATGTGAAACCCTTTGCAATCCCATGGACTGTAGCCCACCAGGCTCCTCTGTCCATGGGATTCTCCAGGCAAGAATACTGGAATGGGTTCCCATGCCCTCCTCCAGGGAATCTTCCCAATCCAGGGGTCAAACCCCCCCCATCTCTTAAGTCTCCTGCATTGGCAGGAAGGTTCCTCACCACTAGCGCCACCCGGGAAGCCCTCAAACATTATTAACTAGTACCGATTTTCAGTATGAGATGGGGGCAAGGGGCTCAAATACTGAGATATTTCCTTCATATCCCTCACACCCAACATTCTGCAGTAAATCCAAGATTAACCCAAAGGCTGGGCAATTTGCTCTGATATACTGGAAAAGACAACTGCCGTGGAGTCAACCAGACCACATGAGCCCAATTCCACCACTAAGAACTCTGTATGTGAGCTGAAGAAAGCCACTTTATCTTCTGAGCCTCAGTGGCATTATCCATAAAGTGGGGATATTACTAGTGCCTGCATCCTAATGCAGTCAGTAGAGCTCAGGGACACTGTGCATATAAAGTGCTGGCACAAACAAGTACTGAGAACTGGTTTTCTTCCTCAGTTCAGCTGCGTCCCACTCTTTGCGACCCCATGGACTGCGGTACGCCAGACTTCCCTGTCCATCACCAACTCCCCGAGCTTGCTCAAACTCTTGTCCGTTGAGACAGTGATGCCGTGCAACCATCTCATCCTGTCATCCCCTTTTCCTTCTGCTTTCAGTGTTTCCCAGCATCAGGGTCTTTTCCAATGAGTGGGTTCTTCGCATCAGGAGGCCAAAGGACTGGAGTTTCAGTTTCAGCATCAGTCCTTCCAATGAATATTCAGGACTGATTTCCTTCAGGATGGACTGGTTGGATCTCCTTGCAGTCCAAGGGACTCTCAAGAAGTAACTAAATGAACAAAGGTGCTTACATCCTGTTAGACCTTACAGCTCCCGGGCAGCGCATCCTATGGGTGTATTAACAACTGTTCAGCCGTCCTCCTGCAGGGGGACGCTGGGCCTCTCGGACCCCGGGGTACGAGTCACACTAATGTTCGGGGGGTGGGGGAGACCGTGCTGGTCCCTGAGCTCAAGCGGAACGTGTCTGCACAGCTCGCAGAGGCCGGGGTCCCCTACCGACAGTCACGGAGACAAGGCTGCCAAGGAGGCCTGGCCTGTCGTCGCGGAGGGGAGGCAGGGCCAGTCCTAACCCGGAAAAGACACCAGGCTCAGGACGGCGTCTGAGGGGAGAGCCTGGGCCCGGCGTCCCGGCAGAGGGGAGACGCCAAATTCGGGGTTCTATTAGCGAGAAAGTGGGCCCGCTCCCCGTAAGGAAGAAAGCACGCTCCGCTTTTTTTTTCCAGAGAAAAGCCAGGTCCGGCGTCCTCTCTAAGGAGAGGCCAAGTCTGGGAGCCCGAGTGAAGAAACAAGCTAGGTCGAGATTCTTATCCTGCGGAGGCGGGGAGACGCGGAGCCCGAAGCATCGTCTATCCCCGTACTCACCGAGGACGCCGTGACGTCCAAGGGCTTCTTTCTCCTGTCCATATTCGCCCCGGAGTGTCCTTAGGTGTACGTCTCAAGGTACCAGGCCTGCCTTTTATACCGCCTTCCGCTGGAACCGGAAGTCACATCAGGAGAGCGACGGTATTTATAGCTCTGGCGCCATCTTGAGAAGGTCAGAGTGTAGCGAGTAATCCGTCCTTCACCATTTTGAGACGGTCAGAGGGTGCTCAGAAGTGAAGCTAATTGCTAAGGCCATCTTGAAAAAGGCAGAAGGTAATAGGGCTGGTGTTTGGTGCCATCTTGAGAAGGTCTCCATACGCCAGGCCGGTAATGCACGCCATCTTGACTGGGGCGGGTTGGGTGTGGCGAAGGCGCCATCTTGGGAAGGGCGGAGTGAAATGACATGATTATCTTCCTAGCGAAAAGAAAGAAACGTTAGTAGGACTGGAAAGATCTAAATACCCTTTGAACGCCTGCCGGTCACCAGGCACTGCTGGTGCGTCTCACAGGTTAATTTATTTAAATTCTTACAAGAGTCATATGAGCTAAAGATTAGCATATTAATTCTGGTAGAAATAACAATAATAATAGCTAATGTTGATACAGTGTTTACCCTGTGTTAGTTTACATATTTCAGCTGGTAAGAACATGAACTCCAGAAGTCAACTTCCTCAATTTATATCACTCCATTACCACTTAGCTGTGTGGCCTTAAGAAAGTTTCTTACTTTCTCTGTGCTTCAGTTTCCAAATGGGAATAAAATAGTACTACATGGGGCTCAGTGAAAATTAGATGAAGTAAATGAGCTAGTCGATAAAAATATTAGTGATTGTGCTATTCAGACCAATGACACCCCCCATGTCCATTTTCTAATCCCCAGAACCCGTAATTATGTTACCTTATTTGGCAAAAGGGGATTTGCACGTGTGATTAAATTAAAGATTTTGAGACGAGATTATCTAAGTAAAGTCCAATGTAATACAGGAGATCAAATCAGTTAATCCTAAAGGAAATCAACCCTGAATATTCATTGGAAGGACTGATGCTGAGGTTGAAGTACTTTGGTCCGGTACTTTGGCCACCTGATGCAAAGAGCTGATTCATTGGAAAGACGAGATTGAAGGCATGAGGAGAAGGAGTGACAGGGGACAAGATGGTTGGATGGCGTCACTGACTCAGTGGACATGAGTTTGAGCAAGCTCCGGGAGATGGTGAAGGACAGGGCAGCCTGGCGTGCTGCAGTCCATGGAGTCGCAAAGAGCCGGACACGACTGAGCGACTGAACAACTACGGCAACCTCAAGGGTGTTTTATGTAAGAGGGAGGCAGAAAGGGCGGAATCAGTGAGAGAGGTCTGAAGTCACTGCACTGTGGGCTTTGAAGAGGGAGGATGGGACCCATGCCGAGGAGTGCAGGCAGCCTCTAGCAGCTAGAAGAGACTAGGAGCGGAGTGCTCCTCTAGAGCCTCCAGCGCATCACTGCTGACGCCTGGATTTCAGCCGTGTAAGGCTCCTTTCAGACTTCCCGCCTGCAGAACTTTAAGAATAAATTTACGTTGTTTTAGACCACTGTCTGTGGTGATGTGTTACAGCAGCAATAAGAACTGATACGAATGATAACTGCAGCAATAGCATGTGTGTACCTTTTTCGTGGATTATCTCGTTTAGTTCTTGCAAGGATCCCAGAGGTGGGAGCTATTTATCCCATGTTACTGAGGAGAAAAATGAGGCCCAAGAGGTTAAATGACATGCCAAAGGGCATTTGCCAACTAGTAAGTAATGGACCAGTGTTCTTCCCTGGAGAATCTGAAGGACAGAGGTGCCTGGAGGGCCACAGTCCATGGGTTCACAAACAGTCGGACACAACTGACCGACTAAGCATGTATGCATGCACAAGTGATGGACCCCAGTGTCAAAAAATCACTCAAAAACAGTGAATTATTTATTTGCATTCGATTTACTTGTAAGGAGAAGAACCTTTAGTTTCCTTGCCAGCCAGCCACTGGTAGTGAGGCTAGTCAGCGTTCTGATCTTCTGCTGCCAGAAAGAAAGAACATTTAGTCATTTATGGATACCCCAGAAGACCTGGAGAGTTTAGTTTCTCTGTATGAGGCCTGTCAGCGTCCTTGCCAGCATCTCCATGTTTATTGTCGTTGTTCGATCCATAGGCTGTGTCTGACTCTTTCTGACCCCATGGACTGCAGCACGCCAGGACAGCACTTCCCTGTCCTCCACCATCTCCCAGAGCTTGCTCAAACTCATGACCACTGAGTCGGTGAAGCCATCCAATCATCTCATCCTCTGTCGCCCGCTTCTCCTGCCTGCAATCTTTCCCAGCATCAGGGTCTTTTCTAATGAGTCGGCTCCTCACTTATTCATTAGGCAGATTTGCACCACCACCCTCATCTGAAGTCCTCACTACTGTGGCATCCAGCCTGATTTCAGTTGCCTTCCAAGGCATTTCAGTGACCAGGAGCAAACCAGTGAGTCTCCCCCATCCCCCGGCCCCTGTATACATCGACGTCTAGAGAAGCACAGAAGACTTAATCTGGATTGACCAGAATGCCCTCCTGGCACCCCAACCGTTTTTCACATACTGCGTTCCTCAAGTTCTCCTCTTCCTTTTATGCTTTCCAAACGTCTGCGTCTGTTTGGAATTGCCTTCCACTAAGGGGCTTCCCTGGGGGCTCAGAAGGTGAAGAATCTGCCTGCAGTGCAGGAGACCCGGCTTTGATCCCTGGGTCGGGAAGATCGCCTGGAGAAGGGAATGGCAACCCACTCCAGTATTCTTGCCTGGGGAATTCCCAAGGACAGAGGAGCCTGGCAGGCTACAGTCCGTGGGGTTGAAAAGAGTCGGACACGACTGAGCAGGTAACACTTTTCACTTTCACCAGGTACAAAAACTGAGGCCACAGCCCTCTGTTCGTCACCACACTATGCTGTCTTCCTGGGGTGTCATGTTCTAAACTGGATGTCAGGCCACTGTGTCTCAAACACGGACCTGGGTTTGTTCAGGAAGAGAGGGGAGGGCAGGCCCCTGGTCTGATGAGAAGCACAGGCGATTTCCTCCAGGCCCCCGCTCAGCCGAACTGCACCCCTCTGGATACCTTGAGAACCTCGCATCACCCCTCTGAGCCTCACTTCTGGCACCCCGCTGCGTGCACGGATGTTTAAGGTACAGAGGGGTGTGGAAATGGTGTGCAAGCCGCAAAGTGCTGTGCACGCATCTCTCTCGGGACACAGACGTTCATTCAGTGCCAGTCTTCTCACCGCAAGACTTGTGCCTGGGGACAGGCTGTGTTATGACACGCTGCACATTTTGCAGTGCTTGAGCTCCAGCTTGAGCCCCAACTGCTGTTGGATCCCTGGGGGTGAGGCTGGGTGGGAGAGCAATTATCTTCTTCCTTTTCCCCTCCTATGGACTTTAATGATCTGTCAGATCTCCTAGGGACTATAAACAAAGGGGGAAGAGAGGTGGCTTTTGGAAACACGGCAATGATTTTCCCCCGCGAGCACGGCCACCCAGGCAGGCTCTTATTTTTAAAGTGGGGCCCTGCAGTCACTTTCTGGCATGAACTTTCATAGCGACGGGGTTGCAAGCTGTCGCCTGTGCTCATGGTTAATGTTTTAATGGGTAATTAAGTCAAGAGGTCCAATTCAGCCCAGGCTCCTTTTGGCACGTGACTGGCCTCTCTCCACAGTCTCCTGTTTCCTCAAACGGAAAGTGTGTCTCTCCCAGATGCGTCCCACCTGCAGTGTCTTAACCTTTGTCCCATCTCCCACACACGGTCTCTGATCCCGAGTTACTCAGCAGTGTGGCTGGATCAGCCAAGTCCAGTGTGTGAAAAAAAGATTAGGTCAGATCTAAGGAAAATTAGGTTCTAAATATGAGCAGAGCATGCGGTATAAAGATACCCAGACTCATGCCCTGGATGATGAAGACGCTCACCTTTATTAGCATCAGGCACAGAATCAGCTATTGGCCTTACCTCATGGACTCCTCACAACAGCCTCGATGGTGGGTGCTGTTATTATTTTATTCAGCAGATGAGGCAACTGAGGCCCAGAGAAGTTGAGTGACTAGTCCATGGTCACGCAGCTAGTCTTGGCCCCAGGATTTGATCTCAGGAAGCCTCATTCCAGGACCTCACACTGTCCTCCTGTGGGTCTGAGACTATATTCACCATGTTCATTCATTCATTCATGTAATCGTTAATCCATTCAGCTTTACTGGAGAAGGGGGACGTTTTTGCAGGAGCTGGCCCCAGAATATTTCTGCAGTTAGGCACTGTCATTAGATCACTGAAGACAGAAGGGACCCACCAGGTAAATGCCAGGAGGTCTGATGGGGCAAGCTGGGACTGGACAAGGATCCTTTGGTGCCCTGAAAAGCCCAGCTGAGCTTGCAAATCTGGGGTAACTGGATAATTAGTGGGGCTTTTCCAACAGCCTGAGAAATCAGTTCTTGAGGCCATCAGTGAAAACAAGAGGTGCTAAGAACTCTACAACCTTGAGAAAACGGCCAACAAACAGGGCCCAAGTGCTGCCTCCCAGCTTCAACCCAACAGCTTCTTATGAGCAGGAGAAGATGCCCTACTACGTCTTGCCTGTGGTCCTCACCCTTCACACATCCGGAGGTGGATATGATCCAGGTTCCTTTGCGGCCCCAAGTCTGATCTGAGGATGTACTTGGAAGGAAAAGGCCCGGAACCACATTCCTTCCTGCAGATACTCTTGGGTCCCTGAGCCCGGGGCCTGAGCTATTTATTGTGGACGCCCTGCTACCCACTTTCATTTCCTGCATGGTCTAGATGGACACAGATAGAGACAGGGCGGGAGAGGTGCCCGTGGGGGATGGACCACGACTCTCACAAGAGAGAAGCTAACAATGGCTACATGCCTCCTGGTTCCTACAAGGGAGGGGCACGCTGCGGAGAAGCTGCCGCCAGCCAGCCAGCCAGCCAGTCAGCCGGGACCATGATTTTGGTGGGAGGGAGCTAGGATCCTGGTCTTGGGGGGTGGGGAAGGCCTAGGATCATTAAGAGAGGGAGACGCAGAGGTTGCCTGGGTGACCAGGGCTGTTTTCATGAGCACACATCCTCTGTCCCTTCATTCCAGAGTCTCCCTCCACGCCCGAAATCCCTTTTCTTCCCTCCCCCAGCGTTCACCCTCAGAACAACACTCACAGGGACTTCCCTGGGGGTCCAGTGGTTAAGAACCCGCCTTGGAAAGCAGGGGACACCGGTTCTATCCCGGGTCTGGGAAGATCCTATACGCCTTGGGGTAACCAAGCCCGTGTGTCACAACTACTGAAGCCTGAGCAGCCTGGCGCCTGGGCTGAGCAAAAAGAGGAGCCGCTACGGTGAGAAGTGCTCACACCACAGCGAGAGGGTAGCCCCCACTCACCGCAGTCAGAGAAAGACTGCACAGCAGCTGAGACCCAGCACAGCCAAAAATAAATTAGTATTTTTTTTTTTGAAAGAGAAGCAAAGGCTGCCTGGGTGATCAGGGCTCTGTTCATGAAAGCACCTTCTCCATCCCTTCATTCCAGAGAGCCTCCCCCTGCACCCCGCCTCCATCTTCTTCCTCCCCGAGTTCAGCCTCCACACGACACATGCAGGGAGTTGACTGTCCTGCTTTTATCCGAGCATTCTATACCCAACACATGGCTAACAGGGGCCTGCTCCGTGTTGGGACTCATGCCAGGGGCTCTGCACACGCTCTCCCCATTTACCTGCAGAGCAGCCTGTGGACCTGGGGGGAGGACTTTTACACCCATTTCACAGATGAGGGGGGAGCCACAGCTGAACCAGAATTCCATGCAGGGATGTCTACTGCAAAGACTCTGCTCTTGCAACTCATAACTGTCTACTCATTCATTCCAAAAAAAGTTATTTTTGACACGTGCTAGCCGTTGTGCAAGGCGCTGGAGGTATAGAAATAAACAAGACGGACATGGTGCTTGTCCCTGTATCCTCAGGTTCCGGGGGGAGACAGAGCCCTCCATCACAAGGTAACCAGCACACCGGCTCACTAAGTCGCGACCTTTGCCATTGGAAGGATGACAGATACGTGCTGTGAGGACAGAGAAACGTGAGGTGGTGGGAGTGATCTAATACAGGCTGCGGCCAGGGAAGCTGCCTCTGGGCAGGGGACATTTCAGCTGTACCTGTCGGACTTCCCTGGTGGTGTGGTGGATAAGAATCCGCCTGCCAATGCAGGGGCCATGGGTTCCATCCCTGGCCCAGGAAGGTCGCACATGCACCACAGCTGTTGAGCCTGCAAGCCTGGAGCCTGTGCTCCGCAACAGGAGAAGCCGCTGCAGTGAGAAGCCTACACACCGCAATGGAGGGTAGCCCCTGCGAACTGCAACGGTGAAGGCCCAGCCCTGCCAAAGATAAATGCAATAAACTGCACCTGAACAGCCAGAAGAGCAAGGGGAAAGGTATTTAAGGAACTGCTGTGTCGGTGGCTTAGTCATGTCCAACTCTTTGAGACACCGTGGACTGTGGCCACCAGGCTCCTCTGTCCATGGGATTCTCCAGGCAAGAACACTGGAGTGGGGTGCCCTTCCCTTCTCCAGGGGATCTTCCTGACCCAAGGGTCGAACTCACGTCTCCTGCACTGCAGGAAGACTCTTTACCATCTGCGCCACCAGGGAAGTCAGGCTGTGCAGTGACCATGCTGTTTTCTTTTTGTAGGGCGGCTTCCCTGGTGGTTTACTCACTGCCATCACAGCAAGGGAGGGGCTGGATCTGCAGGAGAGACGACCTGTAGACCCAGTTCTGGAGTGCTTGGGAATGCCAAAGTTGGAAGCTGAATTCCAGGGTAGGTGGAGATTGTAATTTCTCTCACATCAGGACAAAGTTGCCTGACACGCCACCTTGACTTAGAAGTCCAAATAAAGAAAATTATACCCAACACTGGTCTGGTTTATGCATCACTAACCTAACCTGGCCATAACCCTCAGAAGCAATTACCTCTGAGATCTCCATTTTACAGGTGAGGAGGCTCAGAGAGGTTAAGCGACTAACCCAAGGTCACCCAGCTAGAGATGAGAGGATTGAGACCCCAGATCAGACTTCTCTGACTCACAACCCATGTGTTGCTGTGGGCATGCATGTGTGTTAACACACAATAAATTCTAACATCTTTCCCAAGCTTGTTTTAAAAAGTAAAGCCAAGATAACCCTTTACTTTCATCCAAGGCTAGGATTGATCAGGCTGTCCATTCAGGTCACCCAGAGAAGGCTTGGGAAACCAGCTCACCCCTCCCTTCCCCTCCCTCCCAGAGTCCTGTGTTTGGGTAAGAACGCCTTCCGCAGACAGTACACATTAAAGCATCTCCAAGGCCCAGAACATCTGCAGCTCGGATGCTCGCGTCTCCTCCTGCAGGTGCGTGGTTCTGCGTGGGCGAGAAGACGCGCTGTAAATGTCAGCACGATACTCACACCCGACTGTCTAAGAATTGCCACGCCTTTGCAGAAGGGCTTGTGTCGGCAGCCGCAGGCGTGGGAGACACACCCCCTCCAGGGATCCTGCGTCTGTGGTTGGTGGTCTTGGCATCGCGACTGCGTGGGGTTGTGTTTTGGAGCGGTGGGAGCGCACACAGCCCGGCCAGAACAGAAGCAGCCTGCAGAAGGCAGGCAGGGAGTCCGCCCGCTGCCGCCCAGGGCAGCAGGGTGACGATGCTTTCCGACGGAGCGGGCTGTCCGCTTTTTGGGCTGCAGCCCAAAGCGGGGGGAAAATGTCTTCTCGGTAATTTAGAGGGAACAAAGAACCAAATCAACTGACTCTTACCAGCTCTAGGGAGACTCATCAGTGTGAGAGGCAGTTTATCATAAAGGAATTGGGCTTCTCTTCATGGAAGTAATCAACGTGGAAGGCTGTCCAAGTCTCACAACCAGTTCTGAAAACAAGCCAGAGTGAGTTTTAGGAAGGTTTCTGTTTATTCCTCCCCTGGACCATCACGGAGACAGCTCTTCACGCTCCCTGTCCTCACCGGGGCTGTGTTCCCAGCCTTTGGTCTATCTCATTGTCCTGGGATGAGACTGGACGCGTGGGTGATTTGCTGGGCCACTTAAGAATAGGGACAGGCCCCTATCCTGACCCCTGCTGACCCTTAGGCCAGCTCTAGGGGTCCACTGGACACCCGAGGTCTCTTTTGGTCCTGTATCCAGTCCCCCTTCTGGTGAGAGGACCCCAGTTTATGGGGGGCATCACTGTTGCCTCAAGTCTACTTGGTTTGGGAGGAGCTGATCCCCATCTAGTTCTGGAGATGGAGGTGTGACCCAGGCCCAGCCAGCGGGCAGATTCCATTGCCATGGTCTCAGTCACTGGTCTGAGGGTGGGCACGTGACCCAGATCAGTCCAGTGAGAGGCAAGTCTGGGACCATCGCTGGAGCTACTGGTGAAAGAGAAGTTCTGTTTTCACAATTGTTGCTAACAGCCAAGAGTTGAGGCCGGGGCTGCCCAAAGTCATCATGCCACTCAGAGGAGGAGGGCCTGTCACAGAATAAAGCTGGCCTAGAGGAAAGGAGATCACTTAGACAGCTTCCAGATGACATCTGTAGCGCAGCTGGATCCAGCCATGCCTGAAGCTGCCATGGCCTTGGAAAGTGCAACGTAAGTGAAGCCATGTGTCCCCCTGTGATCGAGTCGGTGTAAAGTGGGTTTCTAACACTTTCCACCAGGAGACTCTTAACACACGCCAGGCATTTACTGAACCAAGGGATCTGATGCTCCCAAGAAATCAGACCAGGGCTCAGTTCAAGGGCAGACTGTCGGTGCCTGCTGATAGACATGAGGCTTGAGCCTGGTGGATGCTAAAGGCCCAAGGCCAAGGCTAGGAATTTTTCTGCATATTGTGTGGTAATCAAAAGCAATGCTCTGTGTAAAGATGCCCAGCATCGTGAGTCATCAGGGAAGCCTAAATCAAACCCACAATGAGATATCACTTATCACCCACTAGAATGGCTAGAACTCTACATTGGCAAGGATGTAGAGCTTTCATACGCTGCTGGAGGGAAGGTAAAATGGGGCAGCTACTTTGGAAAGCCGTCTGGCAGTTCCCCAAACAGTTAAATACAGTTATCATATGACTAGGAATTCCCCTCCTAGGTCTGTACTCTAGAAAACTGGAAACGTGTTCATACAAAAACTTGTACACAAATTATTCACAGCAGCACTGTTCACAATAGTCAAAAGGTGGAGGCGACCCAAATGCCCATCAACAGATGACGAATAAATGAAAGACGGATAAACAAAATCTGGTCTATCCACGCAATGCAATATTATTCATCCATAAAAGGATAGTGTGTTGGTATGGCTACAACACGGGTGAGTGAGCCCTGAAACACTGCACCAAGAGAAAGCAGACAGATGCTAAGCCAGACAAATATGAGTCCGTTTATAGTTAATGTCACGGACAGAGGAGCCCAGCGGGCTACAGTCCATAGGGTTGCAAGAGCCAGACACGACCTAGCGACTAAACCACCACCACCATATTTAATGTCCAGAACAGAAAAATCAATACAGATGGAAAGTAGATTAACAATTGCCGTGGAGTGGGGAGGTTCCCTGGTAGCTCAGATGGTAAAGAATCTGCCTGCAATGTGAGAGACCTGGGTTCGATTCCTGGGTCGGGAAGTTGTCCTGGAGAAGGACATGGCACCCCACTCCAGTATTCTTGTCTGGAAAATCCCATGGACAGAGGAGACTAGCAGGCTATAGTCCATGGGGTCCCAAAGAATCGGACATGAATGAGCCACTTTCACTTGTGGAATGGGGAAGGGAAGAATTTAGACTAGCGGTTAGGAGATGTGTTATTTCTTCTGTGGGATATGGAAATATTCTGGAATTAGATAGGTGCACAATATAGTGAATATTCTAAAAAAAACAACACTGAAATGTATACTTTAAAATGGTGAATTTTATATTATGGGAAGTGTTATCTTGACAAATGCTATATAAAAGAGAAAGAGAAAAACCTGCCGTGCTGGGAGGAGCTGAAAGAATGGGCAGGACCTCGTTCATGTGAAGGAAGTTGGTGAGAGGGGAATGGCTCAGGGATGAACACCTAGGTGAGAGTATAAGGAATTTTCATTTCAGTTCAGTTCAGTCGCTCAGTCGTGTCCGACTCTTTGAGACTCCATGGACCACAGCATGCCAGGCCTCCCTGTCCATCACCAGCTCCCAGAGCTTGCTCAAACTCATGAGCATTGAGTCGGTGATGCCATCCAACCATCTCATCCTCTGTCTTCTTCTCCTCCTGCCTTCAATCTTTCCCAGCATCAGGGTCTTTTCCAATGAGTTAGTTCTTCATATCAGGTGGCCAAAGTACTGGAGTTTCAGTTTCCTTCTTCCCTGTCCTACTCCCCCGTTCCTTCATCCTTACAGCCTGGAATACCTCCCGGGTAAACTACTCGTGGGGACATCTTAAGTCACAGCGTCTGCTTTGGGGGAACCCAGACTCAGATAAGAGCTAACATTTATTTGCATGTTTACTCTCTGTTAGGGATAATGCTAAACTTTACACGGATTGTCTCACCTGCCCTCACAGTGCCCCTGAGGTCAGCGCTGTTAAACTCATTTGTCCTTTAGCCTCTAAGTCGTGTCTGACTCTTGCGACCCCATGGACAATAGCCCTTCAGGCTCCTCTGGCCATGGGATATTTCCCAGGAGGGGGTTGCCATTCCCTTCTCCAGGGGATCTTCCTGACTCAGGGATCGAACCCAGGTGTCCTGCTTTGGCAGGCAAATTCTTTACCACTGAGCCAACCCAGGGAAGCCCGATACTCATTTACCCAAATGAGGAAACTGGGGCTCACAAAGGCTAAGCAACTTGTTGCTGGCTGACAGCTCAGATTCAAACCTGGGCTGAGCAGTTTCTAGTAAAATCATCTCTTTACTGCACCAGGAACCTCCCTGTGGCCTTGATATAAACATGCAGTCGATTTTGCCTTGAGTGCTAACTCCAGTCACTGTGCTGAGAAGGATGCTGAGTCTTCATTCATGCTCTGTGTTGAGGAGTTGGACTTTATCACCGATGTCTGCCCAGCTTCGTGTTCTGTTTTCTTCAGGAGAATGGCTCAAAAAAAAAAAAAAAGGCTCTTTTCGACCCCTTGTGATTCCGGAATGGCTCCCAGTCCGGGGGACCAACACCCACTGCTACCGCTGAGCACATGGCCCCTGCTGGCCAATCTGAGACCTTTCCTGAAATGTTCAAATTGGAGGGAGAGGGGCATGCTCTCAACTTTTCCCCCAGGTTCATAGCAGGAAGGAGGTAACCTCAGAGTTGCCAGCTTCCAGTCACCAAAAGCCTAAGAGCCTTGCCTGAGACAATAATGCTAGCAAACATTCGAACACCTAGAGGAGAAATGAAGAGGTGAGACAGGGACCTGATGAGGTCCCCAGGAGAGCCCAGAGCTTCCCTGCTGCCTGCAGCTCCTTCTCTGGCTTTCTGAGCTACTCCAGTATCTGTACAATAAATCCCTTTTTCCTTAAGCTGATCTCTTTCAGCCAGAAGAATCCTGACTAATGGAGTGTCATGATTGATTAGTAATGTCTGCCTTGGGCACGCGAGTAGGGAGCAAAGGTTCGCACGGCAGATATTTCCCATTCCTGGCTCAGGGTTTGTTTGAGACAGTGAGCATGAACCATGCTTACTATTCCTAAAGCAGTAAGAATATCACTCGTGCATGCTAAGCCACTTCAGTCATGTCTGACTCTTTGTGACACCCATGGCCTGTAGCCCGCCAGGCTCCTCTGTCCATGAGATTCTCCAGGCAAGAATACTGAAGTGGGTTGCCGTAACTTCCTCCAGGGGATCTTCCTGACCCAGGGATCAAACCCGCATCTCTTAAATCTCCTGCATTGGCAGGCAGGTTTTTTACCACCATCGCCACCTGGGAAGCCCATTACTCAAGGAACCATTAATAAATACTTACTGAGGCCATGTGCATACCTAGTCTGATGCTAAGCACCCAGGGAACAGAAAATGAGGAGGGTAAACAGAATCGGTGTTGAATATCTACTATGTGCTGGATGCTTTATGTGTGTGTCCTCTAATTTTATTTCACCATCATAACACCTAGTCCTGAAAGATTTTATTATCCCCATTTTATAGACGGTGAACTTAGGATCAGAGCTAGTCAAGGGCAAACCCTTGATTTAAATCCAGGCCATCGGTCTCTGGTCTGAAGTCTCTCCACCACGCCACTTGCTTATTCACTCATTCATGCACATGGTACCTTATTCCATACACAGTAATTTGGCTAAAACCACAACAGCATGACGACGCCATCACAGCAGCTACATTGCGCAGTCAGGCGTGGTTCAGAGCACTTAGTACACTGCACTCACTTGCCAGTTTCTCTGTTAACTAGAAGGGCAGGAAAATAGGTGTAGGAGGTGTTTTCTGACCTCAGGGAGCTCGCGGGCCAGTCAGTAAAATAAACACATAGGCGGTAATTAATAATTTCATGTTCATGTCCACACTCTGAACCTAACGATGCCAAGACTCAGCTTAGGCATCACCTCCTCTGGGAGGCCCCCCTGGATGTCCCCAGCCTCTAGGTGCTGGGGAGCCCTGGCTGGTCCATCTCTGATGTCCGGTTGCCAGCACCAGGCCTTTTCCAGAGTGGGTGCTTCAGAGTATTTGCTTCATGAATATACACACAGAAGTCTCTGGGGATGCATGGATGGATGAGGGAAGGGGAGGCTAAGGGTATCTTTCCAGGGTCAACAGGAAAGCAAATCTTTGGTAAGGAATCCGCCTGCAATGCAGGAGACCCCGGGTTCAATTCCTGGGTCGGGAAGATCCGCTGCAGAAGGGACAGGCTGCCCACTCCAGTATTCCTGGGCTTCCCTGGTGGTTCAGCTGGGAAAGAATCCGCCTGCAATGCGGGAGACCTGGGTTCCATCCATGGGGTGGGAAGATCCCCTGGAGGAGGGAAAGACTGCCCACTCCACTATTCTGGCCTGGAGAATTCCATGGACTGTACAGTCCACAGGGTCGCAAAGAGTCGGACACGACTGAGCGACTTTCATCTCCCTTCACTTTCATTAGAGATGAAGACACTAAGCCAGTCTGAGAATAAACAGTGACGAAACGGTGACACAAAGGAATATATTTTACATGATTCAAATGAAAGAATGAACATTTTAAACAACACGACACCAAAAACAAACAAACAAACAAACAAAAAACAACCCAACGAGGAATGTGTTCCCAAAGACCATGCATAATTAAAAACTCTCAATTCAACACCCCCAAGGACCGAACTGAGGCAACTTGTTTACGGTTTGAGCGGCGCCACCGTGTGGCAGAAGGGCAATATGACAGAATTGTCGAGGCCTGCCAGCTTTGAAAATGGTTGACACTTGAATTTCCTTCTCACTGCTGCCTCTGTGTGTGTGCATGTACACGTGCAAAGGGGGTGATATTTATATTCCTTTCCATTTTGCATTTAAAATAGGACTTTGTTAATGTTTTACAAAGCACTGCCTCAACTTCACACAGAATGTGCCCCCCCACCCGGACATCACAGTCTGAAGGTGAGGCCCCAGTTTGCTGCTCCCTGTCTGTGATGGGTCCCACAAGCCACCATGCTCACTTGACCACCCCTTCTCTCTTGGGTCCAAAACCCAGGACTTGGAGGCACGAAGCCAGGGCAGGCGTACAACCTCCTGGGGAGCCATCAACACAGTAACAATGCCCTCCCCCTCAGAGGCAAGCCCCTTGCTCTCAGTTCTGGGGTGACCTCACCTTAGTCTCGAGGTTGGGATCCAAGACATCTCAGACTATCCAATCACTTGTCCAGTAAATCAAAGCTATGGATTTTTTCAGCAGTCATGCACAGAGGTGAGAGTTGGACCATAAAGAAGGTTGAGTGCTGAAGAATTGATGCTTTTTTTTTTTAATTGATGCTTTTGAACTGTGGTGCTGGAGAAGACTCTTGAGAGTCCCTTGGACTGCAAGGAGGTCCAACCAGACCAGTCAATCCTAAAGGAAATCAGTCTTGAGTATTCATCAGAAGGACTGATGCTGAAGCTGAAACGCCAATACTTTGGCCACCTGATGCGAACAGCCAATTCACTGGAAAAGACCCTGATGCTGGGAAAGACTGGGGGCAGAAGGAGAAGGAATGACAGAGGATGAGATGGCTGGATGTCATCACTGACTCAATGGACATGAGTTTGAGCAAACTCTGGGAGGTGGCGAAGGACAGGGAGGCCTGGCATGCTGCAGTCCATGGGGTCAAAGAGTCGGACTGAGCGACTGAACAACTCACTGAGCACTTGCCGTGTGCCGCTGGTGCAGAGAGGGTCCCTGTTCTCGTGGAGCTCCGCCCAGAAAGCTGCATTCCCACCAGATCCTGCTCCTGACAAGCTCCGCCTCACATCGGCTACATGGTATTCAGGCAATTTCAGCCTTGTACTTTCCTGGGGGCAAAGGGAAATCAATCAACATCAATCATGTTGCTGAAGCATCTGCTGTGTTCCGATCTCCCACCCCTTGGACCGCTCGGGTTCTGGGAATGAAGAGGCACATGAACTGCCCCACCATGAAGGGTCTGGGATGGCCCCAATTGCAGATATTTTGGTCTGTGATTCTGCAGAGTGGTTCCCAGCTTGGGAGGACGAGGGTCCCAGCAGCCTCTGTCAGTGTCCTGCAAGGGGCCCTGGCCGTCCATCTGGTGGTGCCCGAGGCCTCTTTCTGGCTGCTGGACACGCTGGCCATGCACCGTCCCCTGGGATCAGCCCCGACCAATGGCTGCAGAGAGTCGGGGTATAAGTGTACCAGCCCCCTCGCCCTTCACGTAGGACAGCTCTGAGCTACTCCCTCCCTGACCCTCAGCTAAGTCTCCACGGCTTTCCGCTCCAATTGCCCTCAGCGGTGTCCACATCTGAGCACTCTTCGCTGGCTGCCTCCCCTGTCTCACCCGGGCTTTTTCAGCCATGCACCCTGGATCCCTTCCCAAGGAAAATGCACGCACTTGAATTCTCCACTCAGGGTCTGCCTCTGAGGGAACCCAAACTAAGACAGAGGAATATTTTTTAAAAGCCCCAAAGGCGATCCCAAGATCCTTCCCTCTGTCCTGCTGAATTAAGAACCCCTCCAGCAAACCATCAGAAAGTCAGCTTGCCCGGGCTTAACTCCCAGCAATGCCACTAGTCAGCTGTGTTACCTTGATAAGCTACTTAAGGCATCTGAGCCGCAGTTTTCCTACCTGTCAAGGAGAGTGTCTCCTTTCCCAAGCACTGTGAAGACTCCATGAGAGATACATCAACTCACTCACCTTGAATGGACGTGGACACTGAGAAAACCGTCTATGATCTTTTAAATGTCAGGAAGCATTACCTTAATATACGTGTCACAAAAATCCTTGTCAGATTGCTCTGATTTACTTGCTATGTAGGTCACATAGCAAGGAAAAGCCTGAAAAGTACAATTTAATGGCCACTTATTAAGCTCTTCTTCCCTTGGGCTGGAATGATGCTCTGGAATTATAAATGAGAAGGACCCTTGTTCCCTACCAGCTGGAGGAGACACAAATAAACAAATAATTGTATGGTGTGAAAGGGCTCTAAGAGGCATCTATAGTAGGCACTTGTGGGTTTTGTCTGCTGGGTCCCCTCTTGGCCTGGGGGGCACCCTGAACTTTCCTTCCAGAAGTTGCCCCTCCGCACTCTAGTTCTGGGACTTCAGGGGGTGTCATGTGACTCCAGCTAGGCCAATCAGAGCTGTCAATCCCCTGGTCACAGGGATTGGTCCAAGGACCAGCACGTGACCCAGGGCTGACCAATGAGACTCAGTCCTGGGACTTTCACAAGGTTGCTGGGAGCGGCAGCCTTGGACTGAGCTTCTGGAGGGGAACGCTGAGCTTGGAGGGGCTTCTGGGGGCTGCCTGAGGTAGAAGCCCACACAGAGGAAGGCAGAGCCAGTGCATGCTGGAGGCAGAGTCTGGGTGGCTCAGTTTAACCCTTTGTCCCAGCAGTGTTCAAAGCAGTTCTCCCACATGGGTGTTTCCCCTAAATAAACCAATGGTCTCAAAGGAAAAAAAAAACCAAACCCTGTTTTCCTTAAGCCATCTGCTACCAAGAATCATGCAAAGGAGTGTGCAAGACACAAAGGAGGCAGAGTTGAGCAAGAGATCAGCCACTGAATAAAGGGTTTGGAAAGCTTCTGACGAAAGAGACCTCTGATCTGGGTTTTGAGGGATAAATAGAAGTCTGTTCTTTGATGATTAAGGCAGGGAAGGGCATTTGAGGCAGAGGAAGTAACATAAAGGAGTGGAGGCGGGACCTGGGAGTCCTTCAATATGGCTGGAATATGGGACATAAGAAGATAAGGCGCTAGAAGGGGCCAGATCACAGTCAAATGCCAGGCTGCCAGGGTCGTCTTTTCTCCTGTGGGGCGCTGGGGGAGCAGATAGTAGATGCTTGCATGTGGGAAGCAGAAGGGAAGGTGGATCAGGCCTCACAGAACTGTAGAGACTTTATGAATGTCTCTCACAGAAAGTGTCCTCCTCACAGGCAGGTATCTAAGGGCTTCATATGCTGAGATGTTAGCTGAGGTCACACTCAGTGAACACAGGTCAAGGCTGAGGTCTGGGGGACCCTGGCCAAGCTAACCGCCTCCCGCCTCTGTAGCCACGCTTAATGATCCAGGTGCTCAGCTTTCACGTGGCAGAGGGGCAGGTGCTGCATGCGAAGGGGAGAGGAAGATGTGGGTGGTAGCTTCAACCTCTGCTCCCTGCCCTGAGCAATTCCACTCTGGCCCCAAACTTGCATCCCGCTGCCTGAGGAAGACAGAGCCCTGCAGTTATGGGACCGCCCTTCTTAGAAGGCACCAGGGCCCACCCTCCTTGGAGCCTCCCACTGGAGCAGCCTCCTCAAGAATCTCACCCCCACCTCGGAGGCTTGGCAAACCCACAGTCTTCCCAGCGATATTCAGCAGCACTCACATGTTGGTGCCTTTGGTGTTTGCTGTCGTGTGGCTCTTTAATCCAGTCTAGGGGTCAACAGAACTCATGGACTGGGGCACAGATGTTGAGTGCATTGCCTGAGGCCACAGAGCCTGCTGTTGACCCCACTCCGCATGACTCTGTGTGGTCTGGGACAGCAGTGGCATCACCCACAAGCTTATTAGTAAAACAGAATCCAAGCCCCACTCCCCGCACCAGAACTTCTTAAGTCAAAATCTGTATTTTAACAAGTCCCTGGGTGAAAAGTGTTGGGCTCTGAGCTACATGTAACTAGCCAAACAAAGAGACAGAAGAAAGGACTTCCTGGGTGGTTCAGTGGCTAAGAATCCACCTGTCAATGCAGGAGACACGGGTTCGATCCCTGGTCCAGGAAGATTCCACATGGTTCGGGTGACTAAGCCCATGCACTGCAACTAGAGTGTAGCCCCACTCACTGTAACTAGAGAAAGCCTGTGTACAGCCACAAAGACCCAGAGTAGCCAATTAAAAAAAAAAAAAAACAGAAAAACAGCCCAAATTAACTTTGGTTGGGTTGAAATGAGGGAATTATAAAGGGTCATTTTTTTCCTCTTCTGTATATTCCAGAATATTGTTATATTACTTTCATAATGAAAAAAAGAACATTCAAAATTAAAGAAAATCTAAAACACAAAATTACACAATCTTATAAAACTTAAGAAACAGTTATTTGCATTTAAAAATAAGCCTCATTTTCAGTCTATTTTTATTTTTTTGTTTAAATTGTGACTTCCCTTGAAAAAAAAATTTTTTTTTCTGCCTCCAAACCCAGAAGTAGAAATGCCTTTGAAGGCTCGGGCCTTGTCCTGTGAGAATGGCCTTGTCGGGTTGGGCATCTTTCCGTCTGCAAGGGGAACCCATTGTAATATGTATGCTAGTCACTCAGTCATGTCCAACTCCCTGCCACCCCGTGGACTGCAGCCCGCCAAGCCCCTCTGTCCATGGGGATTCTCCAGGCAAGAGTACTGGAGTGGGTTACCATGCCCTCTCCAGGGGATCTTCCCAACCCAGGGATCGAACCCAGGTCTCCTGCATTGCAGGCAGATCCTTCACCATCTGAGCCACCAGGGAAGCCTAGGTCTTAGCAAACTCCATTTCTGTGCTCACTGAAACGAACAAGGAATGATTTAAGTACACATGTGATCTGAGCCTTGCCGCTTCCCCATGATTATCTTCCCTTGTTTGTCCTTTTTCTGCCTACACAGAGTGAAGGCCCCTCTGCGTTCCTGAATCCTCAGGTTTGCAAGCCAAAGCTGCTGACTTCAGATGTGGTCTCTCTGCGTACTTCACTCTTAGCCATCCCTCAGCACTCAGCGTGTCACTCCTCAGGAACTAACTCCTCTAAGACCCGCTAGTCCTGTATTAGGCACGCTCTCAATGGCAAGTGGTGGAGAAACAAACTTAAACTGACTTAAGTCCAAAAGAGTGACAATCAGTTCAGACGACAGGAAAGCCTGGGGGGCAATGGCTTCAGGTGTGGTTGGATCTAGGGTCTCAAATGACACCACCAGGAAGCTACTTGAAACAAATCTCTCAGGGACTTCCCTGGTGGTCCAGTGGTGAAGAACCCACCTGCCAGTGCAGGGGACACAGGTTGGATCCCTGATCCAGCAAGATCCCACGTGCTGAAGGGCAGCTGTGAGTGAGTGAGTGAAGTCGCTCAGTCGTGTCCGACTCTTTGCGACCCCATGGATTGTAGCCCACCAGCTCCTGCATCCATGGAATTCTCCAGGCAAGAATACTAGAGTGGTTGCCATTCCCTTCTCCAGGGGATCTTCACGACCCGGAAGGGCAACTGCTGAAGCCCTCGGGCCCTAGAGCCCATGCTCTGTAGCAAGAGAAGCTGCCGCAATGAGAAGCCTGCACAC